TGTTAGGTGGAGCCTCACAATGATTCTATCCGTCATTTATTATAGTTCGGTGCTGATGGAAATCCAGTGTCAAAGGCTTTATTAATATAAAATTGCATTTGTGAACACAGAAATAGGAATTATTTGAGACCCTTGCATATTGTTAGGTCCTAAGGTGCAGCTTAGTTGGCTTATGCTTAAATCCAGTACTGGTTAGGTTGAAAGCTAAGCTGCAAATATCGCAGCCAAGCTTACACCACAATACAACTTGTCAATAGCCCTTTTGAAGAAGAGCACAGAAAAGGGAACACAAATTACATCATACTATAACAGAGAATCTTTGTTGTTTTATATTAATTTTTGTGTGTTTAATTTTATTTCTAAATTTCTCTTAGATGACCCGGCTCGTTTTTGATAACTGATTCAGGGAGCAACTTCTGCTAGTTACAGGTGGGTTGAGATAGGAGAAGTGGGCTGTAGATAACACCTGTTATCAGTGGGAGCTTAATGTGGCAAGCCCCTTGTTTTTAGAGGATACCTCCACTGTTAAATTATCCCACTTTTTTCGTTATCTCTCTTATCATTTCACTCAAGATTGTGTTTGGGGTAGTACTTGCTCACAGCCATATTTATGTTCTCTCTCTCTCTCTCTCTCTCTCTCTCTATATATATATATATATATATATATATATATATATATATATATATATATGTGTGTGTGTGTGTGTGTGTGTGTGTGTGTGTTTCATTGAATATATCATATGCATACTCATAAACAAAGACTAGTAAATGCAAGTTGAAACACGCATAACTTTTACATATGTATGAGTTGAGTTAAGTCAAGAATTGAAATAACAGCACTCGGGGCATTCCAATTCATGCTCTGTCCTCATCTTCAGCAGCCAGCGCAGAGTTCCAATACTGATGGTACCGGTCACAATCTGGTTAAATGTTCGTCTTGCCTTTCCTCTGAGTGTAGTCAGCCGGCCTTACATATGTATACAGACATATATATGTGTATTCATGTGAGTTTACACACACGCATAGGTGTGTGAGTGTGTGTGTGTGCGCGCGCGTGTTAACTAGTACTACTTTCAAACTGCGAAGTAAGGACGTTACAATTCTTACATAAGACACAGAACAGAAGAGGAGATGGGTAGGACACTTCCAAAAGATCTTAAATAGACCTAGTCAACAAGAACAATTGAATTTTAAATGTAGGTCAGATAAATAATGTGGAAATGAGGGAGACAATCAATTCAACAGCAAACAATCGGACCGCTGGCAGTTAATGATATTACTGCAGAAATGCCCAAGACAGCAGATGATCTGATCTTTAACCGAGTATAAGATTTGTTTAATGGATCATTGGCAGAGGAAAAATTGTAGACCATTTAAAGAAAACAATAATTGTTAACATTCCAAAGAAAGGTAATTTTACTGACTTTAAACAACTGGAGAAGAATGTTATAAGTTATCAATTATGTCAAAAACGTTAGTAAACATTTTTGTATAGAATTTAAAGGGTAGTAGACAAAATGCGGAGAGAGGAACAAACCTGTAAGAAGCTAATTAGATCAAATGTTCACCATGAGACTTATTTTAGAGGAAATTAACGAAAAGTAACATTTTTTTATTTTGAATTTCATCGACCCTAAGAATGCTTTGATGTCTTGGGAATGCTAATCAACACTAGTAAAAAGTAAAGATCCCTTTTCACCCCTTAGGCGCATCAGGCAAATGGGAAGAGCGTCCCATATATTTTTACAGACCAATCAGCATTATGTCATAGGAGGAAATGACGAGCTATTTGGCTTTGCTGGCAGGACCATATAAAGTACAAGACAAGCAGTGGATATGGTCGCTATTCACAATGGTCTCAAGGAGGAAGGACGAGTAAATGATCCAGGGGACGATGCATCATTAAAAAAAAAAATACAAGTTTCAGGTCACAAAAGATATGCCAGTCATGAACACTAAATATGTAACCAAGATGAATAGTAAATCAGCAGAAAACTGGCATTATCAGTCGCTTTACGCCAAGGGACATACTGAAGATAGCATCAGAGCACTTACTTACTTGTCTAAAGTGCAAAGAGCATATTATGTCGATTTACTATCTAAGTAACTAAGCTGTGAATAAATAAACCTGTTACATATTTTTCACCTTTGACGGCTGAACTGTGCATGCTTCCCATAACATTTATTATGGTAATCAGACATCAATCGTTTATCACTTCTCAACTGATAAAATTACTGTTTTGGTATCTATATGCGTATATTGCTATTACAGCCCTATGAAATAATGAGATGCCCAGTGGTTCTTAATTCTTGGTGTAAGGTACTCAATAATAAGTTTGTTTGGAAGTTCATTTTTGGGAATAAATTGATGATTATTGCCGGTAATAATTTGAAGCTTATTTTTAGCTCGACTTGCAAATCGAATATCCGATAACACATGAATGTTTATATTATAAAGGGATTTCCCTGTGGGTTCTGGAAAAAAAAAATAGACTCCCTGTTCTCTCCCCCTCCAACCCCCAACAAACATGTCGTATTAGGCGTCTAATTAAGGGTGTTTACTTCATAGTCGAAGTGCATCTGCCTGAGAGTCTTGTCGCAAAAGAAAAAAAAATTCACATCTGTAAAAGAGATGTGCATGCAAAATGAAAATTCTGGAATATGAACAATGTCCAGAAGTAGACGAACATCCAAAACTGTCCGCAGGATATTACAGTCGGTAAACGCATAGAAAAAAGAAAAAAGATATTAGTTAGTTAGTTAGTTAGTTAGTTAGTTAGTTAGTTGGGTTATCCTCATTGCACTCCGGACATGTCCATAGGTGCTCAGATCCTCCCCTCAGTATGAAGCCCAACGTCCGATGGCTAATAGTACCAGTTCTATGTTGATTAACAAGTCTTCTGGCGTAGCTGGTGTGCGTCTCGTTTTTTGCTGTGCCGATCTTAATTCCCAAGTCTGCCATTCTGGCGAGTGATGTGGATTCACTGCCACCAAAGTCGTCTATCCTTCCCATTTCTCTGAGGGCATTGATAATATCAGCATGATCCATAGGCTGACCGTCGGTAGTGATAGCGGATCCAGCCAACCTGTCAGCTCTTTCATTTCCATCGACGCCTGCGTGTCCCGGAACAAAAATAAAGGTGACTCCACGGACAGTGGACTTCTGTAATGATTCAAGCCATTGTCTTCGCACTGAACCTGCCTGAACCCTCCGGATCATACTCATTGAATCACTGAGTATACACAGGCGGGTGTATTTTTGTGTTTCAAGCCAGGCAAGCGCTTGTGTCACTGCCATCACCTCCATCGTCATGCTGCTGGTTGTCATGGAGAAGGCGCCGTTGGCTTCTTTGACTGTTCTGCCCGCTGAGCGTGCTGTAAATGCCCATGCGCTTCTTCTTTGGCGTATAACGGATCCGTCTGTATAGATTATTGCATCTGCTTCGTCTGAATTTTCACCGATGAGAGCGTTGACCTCTGCATTAACAGCAACAGGATTCTCTTCTCTACATCGCCTGTTGAGTGTGACAATACAGGAAAATGTACAAATAAACGCCTGAGGCACAGGTATCCATTCTGCACCAGGTATGATGTCGGTTAGGCTGCATATTTGCCTAATAAAAAAGATATAAAGAGTGGTATGCAGACACACTGGAATGCAATTGCAAGCTGTTCATTTCACTAATTATTAGCTGTACATTTCACTAATTATTAGCTGTATATTTCACTAATTATTAGCTGTATATTTTACTAATTATTAGCTGTTTATTTCACTAATAATTAGCTGTACATTTCACTAATTATTAGCTGTGCATTTCACTAATTATTAGCTGAACATTTCACTAATTATTAGCTGTACATTTCACTAACTTTTATCTGTGTATTTCACTAATTAATAGCTGTACATTTCACTAATCATTAGCTGTACATTTCACTAATTATTAGCTGTGTATTTCACTAACTATCAGAATCTTGGATTTAGAGACAATTTTGAGACAATGTTGTAAAATTCACACCAAATGTAAACATGCACACATTGTTTCATTGATGTTCTTTGTTGTGTTGCGTGTGATCGAAGATGACAGTATATCAGCTTAGTTAGTTAGTTATTACTTAGTGCTAGGAAGGGTGGGTGAGGGTAGGAATCTTGGATTTAGAGACAATTTTGAGACAATGTTGTAAAATTCACACCAAATGCAAACATGCACACATTGTTTTAATGATGTTTTTCGTTGTGTTGCGTGTGATCAAAGATGACAGTATATCAGCTTAGTTAGTTAGTTATTACTTAGTCGACAGATTATTATCTTTGCTCACCCATATCGTAAGCATCACTTGCAGATCTGTTTCGTTCGCCTCATTTTTTTTGCCCGTCAGACCAGAATGTCAGCAAATAGCCTCTGTCAGTAATCTATTCAGAGACTGCCCATTGTCTTCGTATGTAACCTCAGAGTCTGCCCGGTCTATTGTTTTAGTTCAAACTGTATTCTTTGACAGTTCTCCCTCCGACCTGAAGCGTAAATGCCCAGAGCTCCTGTCATTTCGAATGACAGACCCGTCTGTGTAGATGATCACATCGCTCTCAGAAGATTCCCCTGCTTCCACAACTACTGTCATTGACTAACTGAAAATCAGAAGTGCATTGCCTTTCGGGTGGGCATTCAGTATTAAACGTTACAACATATCAGCTACAGTGTTATACATCTTCGTATATCTTCTTGTTTTACAAACAGAAAACAAAACGTTGTAAATTACTTTTTTTTATGTAAAGAAACCAATATATATTGTTTCATGAAGGTAAAGACAGTTATGTTAATATCCTGAATCTTCTATAAGTTTTACTAACAATCAATAGTTTGACCTGATTTTTACTGCGCTGTTTTTGCACTAAATGTAACGATGATAGAGAAAGGTTACTAGATAACAACATAATGTCTGTATTGTGACACGAGTAACTAGGTAAGACAAATATTTCCGTAGCCGATATTTTATTATCCAATATGGAGAAGTGTTGCAGTCTGGAGACATCTTTTCCTAAGGAAGAATTATGTGATGAGAAAAATATACCCACTATGTGTTATCTTTACAGAGAGGACCGTCCGTTTTTTAATCACGTTGAGGGAATTACTCAGATTGCAAATGCAGTCCTCAAGAACAAAGAGAAAAACGGTACTGATCAAATAGATGGCTTAATTAAGCAATATTATGAAGGCGCCCCGTTGTTTTACTCAAACGAACCACGGAAAGCGAAAGTTTTTAAACCTGTTCTACTGTATCATTCATACAGTGGCAACGAGTCTTACTTACGTGACAACCTCCAGAGTTTCTGTTTATCAGACAACACACAGCATCGACATTTAAAGATGTCTCTTTCAGACAAGGACAGAAATGGAGAACCTGAGACAGTGTTAGAAGCAGATGAAAAGATACAAGCAGACAACCTTCGGAAAATAGACAGCTGGAGTCAATGGACAAATTCCAATGTTAATATTGCCAAAATGGCTGAATTAGTAACTCGCAATGTACACTCTGAAGAGATTATTGTCAAATCTCAGTTTACACAGAAGATATTTTCTTCAGCCAATGATACTTTTCGACATGACTCGCATAGGTCAGCATTCAGTAAACCACGCAGTTCCCAGTATCGTGACTTGTACGTAAACAGTTTATCAAATTTGCGATGTGCTACATACAATTGTTGCAGTTTCAGTAAATATGTTGATGGGGGAAAAAAAAACCATTAACTCCAAGGCTGCGGTGCCCCACTTAAAGTAGTTCAAGACTAACCGCAAATGTAACAAAATACACTTAGAGTGGCTCAAGCAGCTGAGTCTCAAACTAAACAAAATGTTGAATTACGATTCGACATCACATCACTCAGGACACCCCAAAAGCGCTCTGTCTCTATTTTCGGCTGCAAGCGAAGAGTTCCATTTCCGATCACACCACTAACTGTCTGAATGCATATACGCCTCGCTGTTCCCCTAAGTTTTGCGCTCTGGCCAGATCCCCCTGTAACTCTTCGCTGCGCCGTTCTCCCCAGACCGTAATAATCTATCTGTGCCTCTGCACTGTTTAATCGTTCCCAAAAGTGCCTTCACAACATCCAGCTTGTCTTACATCAGTTCACCACCAAGCGTTGCAGAACCGGCCAGTCTATCTACCTGTTCATTTCCCAACACACCGGCATGACCTGGAGAAAATATCCAAAGGATGCTAACTACTGGGGACTTCTGAAGTGATGCTTGCCACTCTGCACATAGCATGCCTGTCTCCACCTTCTCAACATGCTCTCCGAGTCAGTTACAATCACGTCATGTGTGTACAGCTGATTCTCAAGCCAGCGGAAGGCAGCAGTGACTGCCCCCACCTCCATTCTCAAACTAAACGTTCTGATATCATATGCCAGGCATTGCTGCACCGAGCGACGTCAATTCGCTTTTGCTATGAATCTCAATGCACTTCGTCAGACTAAACATACTTTTTCTAATGTTACTATAATATTGGCTTCTTCTGAAAACCATCGTGTTTGTATGTGGTGGAAGTATCTTTTATAATCTCAATTTACGCTATTGACTTAGAATTACTTACCAATTGTGACCCAGTTTTTAACTATAGAGATAAACCTGCATACTGTTAGATCTGCAAAAAGATAGGATATAATCATCTTGTCATCCCTTTTTGGGATACAATTTTTCGTTATGTGAAGCCCTACTCTGGCTCTTGCAAGGGGCCGCAATATAGACCAGCCATAAATATGGTATAATGGCTGAACGCAGTTTTTGGGACCTCTCCACGGGTGATCCTCATCCACATGATGGCACTTTGTGTCATCGGGTGTTTATCGCTTGTTTGATGTCCTGATAGGGTAAAAGAAGATAGATATAAAGATAGGCATGTGGGAAAACTATGCTGTGACTGGGTGTTTTTATTTAGTTCGTAAATAAATACGCTTTCAAATTCAATGGTTAGCGAGATATTTTAGGTTTATCATATTTTAGTACCTACGTAGAATTATCAAACTTTTCTGGTCAGATACAATCTCAAACACTAAACTACTTCAAGTCCCAAACCAAGAAACTCTAGACAGTTTGATAACCAAGAGAACGTGGCTTGGCCACGTTATGAGAATGAATCATGATATACCTGCCAAAACAACTCTCACATGGACACAAGAGGGAAAGAGAAAAAAGGGGTGCCCAAAAACAACATGGAGACGAACAATGGAAAGTGACCTGAAAGCGGCATCTCTGACATGGAAATTTGCACTAAAGATTGTACAGGACAGGATAGCAAGGAAAGTCCTCTCTGAAGCATGTCACTAGGCATAAGGAGAATTGATGATGATGATATTTAAGTACCATCTCAATCAGCCAAATAAGGAGATCTTGGAAACTGAAATATCTGTACACAATACTACCAGTCTCAAGTAAAATCTCAGACAGCGCTATTTTTATAGGAAATAATTTACTTTTTTTTTTTTCAGCTTCCCTATCTTTTTTTTTTTTTAAATTTAAAAATTATTTTGAATACGTTACTCCATATTCCAAGAGTGTTGGCTTGCTATTGAAAGTAGATCTGCTAGACAACATTTAACGCATTACAATCATGAACAATAAGAACAAAGGCTTACAAAATTGTCAGTTTTGGTATTTGTCATCAGGCGTTAATTATATCCAACACAAGTAGTAAGGTTATTGTTTAAACTCAACTCGGTAACAAACGCTTCATGCGTTCCTTTCGGTTTTCAAAGATGGTAGGGTGTGACTGCTGCCTTCTGCTACAGACCTAAGCTTTGTTAATCTCTTTGTATTTAATTATTAGTTTGGCCACTTCTGTCCCATAATATCTGCGTTCTGATTTTTCGGACATAAGTATTTATTGCTTTTCAGCTGAACTCCTTGAGATACAGAAAGTTACAGTACCAGTTGCTTTGTATTGCAAGAGTGAAGCTTCATAAGCTTAGCTTCGCCACTGCTCCTAAATATGTTCTTGGGAAACTTAGGATTTACACATCACGATATTTACATGCTATGATTGAATGGTTTAGTGTGTGCATGTGTGTGTGTGTGTGTGTGTGTGTGTGTGTGTGGCTGGTGACTGCTTTCAGTCTCAGGGTATGTACATCAATTGTTTACAGTTTGATGACGTACTGTATTTAAAATGTCTTCAAGTTTGTTTCGTGGCATTTTAATTAAACATTTTATAAATTGTTGGAATGAATGGACACATTGCCATTTTAAAAGATCTGAACATCAAGGAAGATTGACTAATAAACAACATCTTGTCTCGGAAGCTGAAATATTTTGGTCATATCAAGCGCAATGGTGAAGTAGAAAAAAAATAGCAGAAAGCATGGTACCAGCATGGAGAAGCAGGGGCAGGGGCCGACCAACTGGAAGATGAGCCTATGACAAAAGTGACTCCTTGAATGTGAAAGAGGGAGAGCGGGAGAGCTGGCGAGAGACCGAGTTTCTTTCGGGCAGACCTTGATGACAGCGACGTTCTGCAAAATACCTACTACATAATGATGTTTTATAAACATAATACTTTTACATTCAGTATGTTTCTCTGTACGGTAGGTAAGCCTCACAAATGTGAGTGTGGGCGAGCATTTGCTCGAAGTGAAGAGCTTACTAGACACAGGCGAATTCATTCTGGGCACAGACCATTCCGCTGCTCGCAGTGTTCAAAAACTTTTGGACGTAAGGATCACCTGAAGAAGGTAACAGTAAGTCATTAAGTATGATACTGGGCTTTTTATACGTCTTATGTAGTTGTCATCTTGTAGCTGTACTCTCTACTTTTTATTCCCCCCCCCCCCCCCCCCCCCCCCACTTTAACCAGAATTTTTATTTTTTTCAGCCTGTACACATAAAAACGACGATGCCGTCGTCATTATCATGTAGCAAGTACTTTATAAAACGATGCTCCCGTGACAGTCTGCCTGGAGGAAAAACAAAACTCGGCCTCCCGTCAAGTCTTCCACCTACTATCCTTTCATGCTCAATGTGCCTGTTAGGTCCTGTGCCCACTATTGTGCTTGCTGGTTGTTCCTTGCCTCTCTTACCCGGTACTATACCCTCCATTGTTGTTATTTCCAAGCAATTAAGATGATGGCAAGTTAAAATTTTCTAGCCAAAAAACGATAGAAATATCAGTTTCGCATATATTTCAATGCTGTTACTTCTCTGTTCTATTTGGGGTCTTTTTTTTTTAAATAACAATATGCGCTTTTATTCTGAGTCAGCAGAAGAAACTTCTACACTTGGTAATTTTACTACACTAATCTAATGTGATTTCCTCGCTAATGCTGCTTTATTTTTATTACTGAACATAAACCCTTTTCATATTTAACAAAATATAGTTATAATTCAGGTAACAGTGTTGTTGATGATAACGATGATTAGTTTCACATTACAAGCAGCCAGCTACTAGATTTTTCCTATAACAGGCCTTAGCATTAGATAATATTGCTGCCATGTTTGTGTACAGCTGGAGCAGAAGCACGTAATTCCCCTGCTAATCCTTGTTATATACACCTTCAAGTATAGCTAAACTGGCAGGTTATTTGTCTATTATAGGTCACGCACGAAGTTTTACTTTTTCCCTGCAATGCCCAATGTGATCTGACTTCTTTAAGAGGCTGAGTCGTCTCGAGGCATGGCGTCCGCCTCGGGTGCTGGGGGGTCCCGTGTTCAAGCTGGGATTTTTTTACGTGGACTTCTAGTAATTTCCTCTGGTCTCTAGGTAGTAAGATCGCATGCCCGGGTGTTTTGTTGCGCACGTAAACAATCCCTTGGCAGTTGGAAATTGAAAAGAGTAGCCTAACATCGTTGCTCTGGCCAAATTTAGAGTTAAAATTCTGTCCAAAGTAGTTCAGGATCCTCGCCGGTGCAACGAAGTTCGTGCACTGCACTGAGATTCTTCGGGCTCAGGCTTGAGTTAGAAGTAGAACGGAGCACTTATGGGTTACTACCCTTGTGCCATGATGTTGATCCGTTGTTCAAATCTTCAACCTTCTGACTTATTATGGATAGTCTTCATTGTTATAAATCCCGAAGCCAGTGCATTCAAAGATTGTGAATTTTTAAAAATGCTTTTGCAAGTAATTTGAAGTGACAGGCTGGGTTGATTTGTCTGTGTCAGTCCTTAGCATGTTATGTAACCAGTGTATGTCCCTATAATGTTTAGCTTTAAAGTATTGCTCATAGCCTCAGATGCATTTATGACTTACGGAAAAGTGTCATTAGGTCTTCAAAATTCTTAACTCTTTCAGTAATAAGAAACTCACTATTCATTTCTCGGACATAGCAAAGATACAGTAATATATAATATAATATTCTTGCGGTCTTCTACCATAGACAGATTTTATATTAACCCTTTGTATCTGAATTATTACTTTAACGACTTCTTTCTCAAGTAAAAGTATCAAGTTTAACACCACCAGGATATCACATAGAGCGATAAATACCCGGTGACACAAAGTGCCACCATGTGAATGAGGATCACCTGTGTAGAACTCCCAGAAACAGTGTTCAACCATAAGGCTATACTGCGGCCCCCAGCAAAAGCCAGGGTGGGGCTTCAAAATAACCAAAAATTGCTACATGGAACTGACGTTGCTTAGAAGTTCTGTCCAAAGACATCTCTGTTTACCCCATTAGACATAAATATTTACTGCTTTTAAGATCTACTCATTAGAATAGAAGGGGTTAAAGTAACAACTGCTTGGTACTGAAAGAGTTAAATAGGTACTATACCATTTAGATACAATTAATAATAACAAAACCATAATATTCTTATCATTGTCTTTATATTTTTTTATCAGCACAGGACCACCCATTTACACATATCAGAGAAGAAAGTTCATGTCTGCAACATGAAAGAGTGCCAGCAGAGATACACACGTTCTGATGCACTTGCTCGCCATCAATGGGCTGTTCATGGAATCAAAGCAAGTGTTCCTAAATGACAGCCACAGCATTGATGAAGTATCTTTAGTGGAAAATGCATGTTTAAAGCATGGAGACCAAGACAGCTTTAAAAAAAAAAACCAAAAAACTAGAATTTCAATGCTGTTTCAAAATGCTCATTTTTCAAAGGGGAGAAAGCGATACAGAGATAAAACCTCAGAAATTATCTTAAGAAATTTTAAATAAATGTGCACAGATTACAGAAATTGTTAAATATCTTAGTTTAAAAAAAAATTATTCAAATCTTTTTACATTATTTAAAAAGTGATCCATCAAAATTTTGTTTGGATAACTGCTCTTCTAAAATAATTTTAAGTGGAATAATGTTAATTATATGTTTACCTTAGGAAAGGCTGGAACAAAGGGGACATGGAATAACGAAAAGCATTGTTACACTTTCTTGTGCAGTTTGTTATTGATGAACTTGCATAGTTTTATATCTCTTCTTTTTCTTTGTTCACCGTCAGTAAGCTTCAGCAAGAAGACCAAGCTGTTCTTCTGTTTGGACTTTGGCTTTGTGCCAGGACCTGGGTTTGGTGTGTACATCAGTTTTACCGGCTTTTTTGTGTGCAGGGTTGTTCCTTGCCACGCGGGCAGATATACTCCTATGAAATGCTTGTTAGGGAGACAGTGGGTCTGTTCTTGTTTTTCCCATAATCGGGCCCTGGAAATAGTTTTATATACATGATGCCATTGCTGAAGCATGTACCTTGGTTGTTGTTGTTGTTACTGCTTTTGTATTATTATTATTATTTTTAATTAATTACTATCAAATAGGGGTGTACCAAACAGTGATTTCCACTATTCGGCCGAATACGAATAGCGGGACCAACAATTCGGCCAAATACGAATAGTGTATCATCATCATCATTAGTTGCCTTGCCGACTGGCGTGGGCGATTATGAATTGCCACAATCTGCGATCTCCTGCAGCATGTATCAGTTCGTTTGCTGACACACCGCCATGCCATGCAACAACACTGTCAAGAGTCTTCTCTCGTTGTCTTCCTCTATCCCTCCTTCCACAGATGATCTTTCCAGTAGTCACCACAAAGTCCATTTTCCCTCTTCTCATAACATGGCCGAAAAATGATGACTGTCTCCTTCTGGTGTCTGTGTTTAGTTTTTTCTTCGGGCTCCCGCCTCTTTTAAAACCTCTTAGTTGCTTTTTTTTTTTTTTTTGGCTGTCCATGGTATTTTAAGCATTGTTCTGTAAAACCACATTTCTAAGGCCTCAAGAATTTAAAAAAAAACAAAAACGATCCAGATTTTATGTTCAGTTGTCTTTAATGAGATTGATGAAAGTGTTTGAATAAAATTGACATTATATCCTTTTTATTTTTATTTTTAGAAATTCTCTCTATCATGGATGACCCTCCATGAAGAGTTATAGCGCGGCGTTCAAAGATTCCTTAACCTTCGTGTACAAAATCAGAATCACTTCATTCCAGATGACTCTTTAATTTGGCCGGAACTAAGCAGCCGTTAGGAAACTTCTATGCCAGTTTACATATTGTCCTTCCAGTGCTTGTTCATTCCCAACCAAAACAAGGCCAAACAGGAATGGGCTCTCCTGTAAACTACGGCTGGTAGACAACATTTGACGGCCGGTTAGTCGGAGTTCTGTCCCTTGGCTGCAGTGCAATTACGGACTGGAGAAGACACGAATCAAATGACATAATTACTGTGTGTTGGCGACAGACAGCGTGCAGTGACCTGCTGTCATCATGCGGTTAGGGTTTGGGTTAGGGGTAGGGTTTAGGTTAGGCGTGGGGTTAGTGTTAGGGTTTGGGTTAGCGTTACGGTTAGTGTCGCCGCATCTCGTCTTCGCAGAAACTCAACGTCGCACCCCAAACCCTAAACCTAACCCTACCCCTAACCCACACCCTAACCCAAACCGTATGATGACAGTATAATCCTTCCCTCTAATCCACTCCGTAATGCGTCGCACGAAGCGGTAATTGAACGCGGTCGCTAATTTGAGTCGCGCAGCGCGGGTTCTGCAAGGCATGTCGACCTCACTTTGTTGTTTGATTCATGCCATCTCCAGTCCGTAATTGCACTGCAGCCAGGGGACAGAACGACTAACCGGCCGTCTACTGTTATATACCAGCCGTAGTTGACAGGAGAGCCCAGGAATGAATGCAGTCAAATTCGCATTTAAATCATCGTTCACTCGGCCATTCGTTCGATGTAATTTAAAAGCACCTTCATTTTCTCGTTATCAATATCTTCAATCTTCATATGGGCAAAGACACCCTAAAAGAACGAAAAAATGCATGATCTCTCTCTCTCTCTCTCTCTCTCTCTCTCTCTCTCTCTCTCTCTCTCTCTCTCTCTCTCTCTCTCCCTCTCTCTCTCTCTCACACACACACACACGCGCACACGCACACACACAAGAAACAAAAAAGAACGCATTGCCTTTAAATGTAAGTGATTACTTGATGAGGCTAACAGTTGCTATTGTACAGACCACATTTTCCACTTTTAAATTTCAGTCAAAATTTAATCACAATGTTACTTATTCGCTGCACCTTCACGAATACAGATGGAGGATCGGTCGCACCTTTAAATACAAAGACAATATTTAGCACGCTGTGGTTGGTATTTTATGCAGTATAATACCCTTTGAGTGTGAAAAATTGAAAAAAAAAAATCTTTTTGACAGTGGCGAGGAAAGACAATTTAAGTTTCAACTTTTAAGTATCTTCATGGCTTCTTTATTAATGTCACAATTTAGAGCCGAGTTTTCTTGATTTTCGCTGCGGCACCCCTGGCATACACACCCACTTTGAGAACCTCTGCTGTAATGCCTCGATCCAGTCAGCAGTCAAAGACCTTGCCAGCTGTTGTACCCCGCAACCGGGTCGCAGTTTCCCCCGCTATGACAGACTTAGGCAACAGCAACTGTTATGTTAATGAGAGAGTTATTTCAGTCCATCGCAGTGTATGCAGAAACGGGTGTAAGGTAACCACTATTCATATTCGGTCTGACTGCAAGTATTCAGCCGAATAGCAAATAGTTATTATGTCCACTATTCAGCCTTAAAGCGAATACGAAGCGAATATTCGGTACAGCCCTACTATCAACATATGGCTTTGAGAACATTCCAACACCTTCTGGTTTCATGCTAAATACAAATTTAGTAATGAATTATTTTATTTCCATAAAACAAATTGGTTTTAAATAAACTATTAGCTGTTATTTGTATATTTTATATATAATTTTACTACACATCACAATTAATAAATGACAACATGACATACAGATTTACAATAATACTTGGTCAACACACAATTTAAGTAATATTTCATTTGTCAGCATATTTATTGAATAACGTGTTTTGGTTTTTTTTTAAAAATATTTTGCCAAAATAGCATATTCCTTCTAGAGTAGCACATCATTATTTAAAAAATAGGGTCTTGTCTTTAGATTTACATCATGCAGTGTTAAAATTAATATTATTCTTATAATTTTCTGTACAGAGATTTGTATTCATAATCTTGCATTTGTTTTAATAAACACTGTTTCTTAAAATCTGACAAGAGAATGGGATAACCTAATTTGTTTGTTATACATCCAAGTTTTGAAAATTCGAGTTTAGATGCACTGTGCGGTTATCATTGTACTCTGCTAATAATTATTATATCCAAAGAAATGTAAGAAAGTATGGGAAAAAACAAAATTGTGTCACGCCTTTGGCACAGTAGACATATAGTGCTAGGCCTATATTTGCATAGATCAATCAGCACTCAATGGGTGATGCAGTTAAAATCAAACAAGCTACCTTTGCTTCCCATGGCATTATCTGGTGCTTATTTAAGGTCAACAAGGTCAGTTTTGAAAATAAATCTGCCTTGGCACAGATTTAAACCCCTGACCTTTGGACAGGAAGGAAGCGTCTAGCCGCTAAGCTACCATGCTCCCACTGATGAAATATAAGGAAATTAAACTTCATTTGTAATAACGGTGAAAGTTATTCCCCATGGTAGATACTACTAATCAGTGTGGATTTTTTTTTTCAGAAAAGGTAGCAACCTCTTCAACCTTACCGTTTATATTTTTGTTTCAAATATATAATGTTATCTATCTAAGAATAGTCATAACATCTGACAGAAGATACCTTGAGGAATAAAACATGAATTGCCTGGCAAAAATAACATTTAACAACATGGAAAACATACTGAAAAAAATCAATTGGAAAGATATTTGTGAGGGGAAAAAAACTGTGTACACAAAAGAGTGAATATGAGTAGACCATGATACAGGCAAAGAAAATGGTGGAGAGATAATATACAGGCAGACTTATAAACACTTGGAGTTATAAACTAGATAGAGAAGGCCGATCACAGAGATTAAGAGAGGTGGGTAATATCTGCAGCAATGGACCTCAAAGATAGGGAATGCTGAAAAAGAAGAAGAAGAATCTAATGACAGTTTAGTGCCCTGAGAATAGTGTCACCATGGTTCTATGGTAACATTATCTTAAAAATATTTTACTCCTGCAATTATACACATATACTAGACACTGTCACATAACATTTTTCCAACTGACTGTATGCTCATGACATAATTTATTAATTGTTCACAATTCATGAATATTGTACATACTTCAAAATGAATAAAGCTACTCAGAAAAAAGAATTTTTGTAGCACATGTAAATCAGATAAAGCCCTATCTGGATACTTGTTAGTTTTATAGAGGTCATGCACTGTGCTATATGTGTTGTATGATATATGAAGGTAGAGTGGAGCACTTACAGTAACATTGATGCGCAAAGAAAGGGATCTTTAACTCTTTCAGTTTTACCCATGTGGGTTCTGGGGCCCAGTTGCTGGAGGGAAAAGAACAGGCCCATGGCCCCTTACCAAGTATGTCATTAAGGGCAATTAATTAAGGATTTGCTGAAATCCAGTGTGTTGAGCCAAATGGTGCAGATATCATTGCTTAGCTGTAAACCACAACGCAATATACCAACTGCCTTATTAACCATGTTGCCCAAGTAACCAATAATTTGAGTTTGAGCCACTTCCCTTAAAAGTCACTTTACCTATTTGCTATAGAGACGTGTCACAGAGATGCCTAATTATTGCCACTGGCTGTATTTGCACATACACAGTGTTGAGGAGGTCGGGATATGAATAAATTTATCTAAAAAGCATTTAAGGGATTTTATTGTGATTCGAATGGCTTTTTTCAAGTCATTCTGATGTAAAATTTTCCATAGACTCAACGAAAGATGTCACCGGGTCATGGTGTGAGTAGCCCATTACATAGTTATTAAGGGCTCGTGCAATGTATTCTACTAAATGATTCACTCTGTTCAGATTAATTAATTACCCCTATCTATTTGTGTTTGTATGTTTTGGACCAAAAAATTTTTATACATGGATAAATACATGTTAAATAATTTATCAGTGAACTAAAAATTGCTATTTTTAAAATGATTTTTTTCTAGAATTCCTGATGGTTTATGGCCTATTTTTGTTTAGCATTCATGCAAAAACAGAGCTAAGCTACTGTGTCTTCCTACTACTGCTACTTCTGCTACTTCTCCTACTACTGCTGCTACTACTGCTACTGCTGCTACTATTAGGGTTCATGTACCTAAGGGTTCATGGCCTATTTTTGTTTAGCATTCATGCAACAACAGAGCTAAACTACTGTGTCTTGCTACTACTGCTACTACTACTACTACTGCTACTACTACTGCTACTGCTGCTATTATTACTACTATTACTGCTACTACTATCAATACTGCTACTAATACTACTGCTGCTGCTACAACAACTACTACAACCTACTACTACTGCTGCTGCTGCAACTACTATTACTGCTTCTACTACTACTGCTGCTGCCACAGCTGCTGCTGCTGCTGCTACTACTAAGTACTACTGCTGCTGCTGTTACTACTGTTACTGCTGCTACTACTACTAATACTGCTGCTGCTACTACTACTACTGCTGCTGCTACTACTGCTGCTGCTGCTACTACTACTGCTGCTACTACTACTACAACTGCCACTGCTGCTGCTGCTACCTCTATTACTACTGCTGCTGCTGTTACTACTAATACTACTGTTGCTGCTGATCCTACTATTGATAATGTTGCTGCTGCTACTACTTCTGCTGCTACTACTAGTGCTGCTGCTACTACTACTGCTGCTGCTACTACTACTGCTGCTGCTACTACTACTACTACTGCTACAACTAATACCTACTACTACTATTTTTGTTTAGCATTCATGAGACAACAGAGGTAAGCATGGATGCAGAGGAGAAACTCTTTGAGTCCTAAGCAGTTGTTTCTCTTTTTATCTCAAGGAACTTGAAGGCAATTAATACATAGATCTGAAAGAGCAGAGGCACATGGAGCAGGAGTAATTGAACCAATAATTCAGAATTAACAAGTGATTATAGTATCTGGGTTTGTTAGAACTCATCAAAGATGTCATATTATTTTTGTAATAACCAAATGTATGGAAAGTTTACTGGCACTAAAAGAGAAAATAAACTCAAAAACATAATGTGTATTATATTTAATATGTTTTCAGCTAAAACATCACCAGCATTTTGAGTAATGGCATATTTTCTAACAAATTAAACAACAACTAAGCTTCCTTCATGTTAGACAGAAGGTTTCAGTTCTGCAGCTACTTGATCTCCTGTTGCATTCAACGACAAGGGATAACTGCTGTCACCAGCAACCCCCATCACAAGCATCCATCTGTTGACAGGCAAGTCTGCTTTGTGACAGTCCAGGTTTGTGTGGGCTGATATCTCATACTCATAGCCAAAAAGAGTACTGTGGGATTAATTTTAGTAAAAAAGTTGCAAGAAGTTTATGAACATGAGTGAATAAATTTGTGTAAACTACCATAATAGAAAAACATCAATCATAATTAAAAACTATGTTTTTTAATTACGGGAAATATCTTCTCCTTCAGCATACTTAGCCAGCAAGATTCACTGCAGCAGATATAACTGCCTCCATTCATCTCTGTGATCTACTTTTCTTTTCCAGTTGGTGACTCCAGGTGTTTTTAGTCTGCCTCTGTATTATCTCTCCACTGTCTTCTTCATCTGCTTCATGGTCCACTTCCCAGGTTTTTGTATATCAGTGCTTTTCTCTCTGTTATCTTTTTAAATGGCCAACCATCATGATGCCAGTATTTAAGGGTGATTTAAAAAAGATTATGATGGAAACTGGTAAGACTAGAGTTTAATTAGAGTTTGTGTAAATCCTATTGTTTCTGCCTGATGAAGATGACAGGAACTTCATCCAAATGTCACTTATGAATGTCCATTGTGAGAGAATAAACCATAATTTCCTATAAATATATAATGGGCATCACAGAGAAATTTCATAGTCAACAATAGTTAGTCATACCATGCTCTTTATTTTACATCATAGATTCTCAATATTAACCATCTGACCCATATTGTGACTATACTAATTCTCTTAGAGGAGACTGTGCTACATTTCTGTAAACATTATACACAATACTTTTCTGAGAGAGTTTCCCCAAGTTGAAATGTTTGGCATATCAAAGGCTATGTTTTATATGTTCAAACTTAACAAAAAGAACAGAAGAAAACATTTTTTAAAGCTTAAAGCAGCTGTATCAGTCATTTGCGTATCCTTTGCAGAACGTTGCAGAACCAACGATAACAGCCCCTGGCTGTTGTGTTGTTTCTCTAGGCAAATTTACATCCAGTAGTTTGCCATTGCTTTCTGGACAGTCTGCCCCCTGATACCACTGGCGAAACCAATGCAAGGCGCATGGCCCGCAGCTGGGATCTAACCCGGCACCCCAGCATTACGAAGAGTTTGCATCGACTTAGCCACAGAGCCGACAAAAGCAGCTGTAGAGACAGGAAAGTCTCTGTTCTTGCAAATTGTATTCTTTTCTTCTTCTTCTTCTTCTTCTTCTTCTTCTTATTATTATTATTATTATTATTATTATTATTATTATTATTATTATTCTCCTTCTTCTAAGTCTTCTCCTTCTTCTTCTTTTCTTCTTCTTCTTCTTTTCTTCTTCTTCTTCTTCTTCTTCTTCTTCTTCTTCTTCATTTCTTCCTCTTCTTCTACTTTTTCTTCTGCTTAGCATTTACCAGCTGATGAAAAGTTCTGATTATTCATCCACTTCTGGACTTTAGTTTTGTTCCAGAACATGAAGTTGTGTGTGTGTGCACATCCATTTTGAGATCTGGCTTATGTGTATGCAGATTGTTGCTTCCTTGCTTCTCAGGCAAATGCATTTGTATTTAAAAAAAAAAAAAAACATAATTAGCCAACTTGTGTGACATTTTTTAAGTGGAGCAGTGGGTATATCCTCTGCACCCTCCTCCCCCCCCCCCCCCCCATCCCCCCTCCCAAAAACAAATGGGTGACATGTTGTATTGTGGTTTACAGCTAGAATGAAATATATGCACCTGTCAAGTATAGAATTTATATTTAACTGACAACAGATATATTTGTTGATAATTTGTATGTCAGAGAGTTTGATAACTTGAATGAGTTAACACTCATGCCCGAGGCTTCGTCCTCCAAGACCTCATGAAATTTAGGTGTAGTGAGAGCCTCTGGCATAACTGGGGAACTGACTGTGTGCCTCCAGGTGATACCTTGGCACAAGAGATAACCTTCGGCCAAGTCTGAAGTGGTAGTTCAGTTTGTGGGACTTTTTCCTATTATGAGGAATGATTGTGTTCCTAGTTTTATTATCTGGTTTAGGTTGTGACTGCTGAGACAATGTGCACGAGTGTCTGCGTCTGTAAACATTGAAGCAGCTGCGTTTGGGTTACTCCTTATTGGAACTTGTGTAGCTCATGATGGATACCTTTGATTTACCTACATTTCTAGATACTTGGTGTAACTGCGGAATAGACATGACCGTATGACTATGCTGGGTAAATGGCAGACTTACGTGACTATATGTTTCTCCTCAACACATAGGTTCTGGTGTGTCTTGCAATGTTGAATTATGCATTCTTCATTAGCCTGAGGAAATAATTTTAAATATTATTATGTTCATACAACTATTATACATATATCATTCGTCAAATATTCAATGTGTGCGTCTTCATCCCATTATTTCCCATTTACTAATGACAACAAACTAAGGTCTCGCCTGTTCTCATCCCTGTCTTTAGCCTTGGGAATTCCATGCTGCATGTATCCTTGCATGAGCTTTCTGCCTGGCTTGTTATGACAGTGAGCTACAACTCCAAACATGGTCATCACAGATGTATTTGCTAACTGCTAAATTATTGCACAAAGTAGGTCCAGTATTTATTGAATGGAACCAGTGCTACTAAGAATGACAAGAAGTGTGCAAGAAAAAAAATATTCTGTGACTTACTGTGTTCTGATAAATCAGAATCATTGCTTCAAAACTTTACATTTTCTGAAAGGCATACTTAATAGATATTAACTCTTTCAGACCCAGAAGATCACAAGTGAAGCTGAAGTAAGGAAATCATGACAAATAAAATCATGGGGGTACTAGATCCACAAGGACCAAGTACACATCTCTTGCAGGAAACAAATGTGCTATTGGAATGCTTTAGTAAACCATGAACAAAAGAAAGATATAAATGTATATATATATATATATATATATATATATATATATATATATATATATATATATATATATATATATATATATATATATATATATAAACCTTTTTGGAATCAAGAAATTCAAAATACTATATCTGAAAGGAATAAAGCAAGAATATTGCTCGAAACTGCACGTTCAACAGAAGCAAAGATCCAATACAATAAAGCATGTGCCAGAGTAAAGCTTGTAGTTAATAAGGCTAAAAGAGATAAATGGACAGAAACTTGCTCCAACTTAGACCTTAGACAGAATGGAAATAAAGCATGGACTTTAGTTGAAAACCTCTCCGGAGAAAGTAGAAGGGTGAACCCAAAACCAGTGACAGATGGGAGTAAGACAATCACTGAAGACAAGAAGAAAGCAGAACATTTCAATCATTATTTTGCCTCAGTTAACAGAGCAGGTAAGCTGTCAGAACTCAATAGAACACAGCTCTCTCAGTTGAAGAAACAAGAGAGAGCTCCAACAGCCAGCGACTCCCTTTTTGAAAATGAATTTAGCATGGATGAATTAGAGCAAGCCCTGAAGAAATTAAAACCTAGAAAATCTCCAGGCCCAGATAAGATCCACAATGAAATGCTGCTACATCTTGGCCGGTCTGGGAGAGAAGTAGTTCTTAGGCTTATTAATAAAACTTGGAGGTCAAGCAAACTTCCAAAGGCATGGAGGAATGCATATATCGTCCCCATTCTTAAAAACAAAAAGCCTCCAGATGATCCCAAAAGCTACCGCCCAATATCCTTAACATCATGCTTGGGCAAAGTTGCAGAAAGAATGATAAACAGGCGCTTATATTGGTTCCTTGAGAGTTCTGGTGTTCTATGCCATGAACAGGCAGGCTTCAGAACCAACAACTGTACAGAAGACCAGCTGTTCAGACTGACACAAAGAATACATGATGGCTTCCAGAATAAGAAACACACAGTGGCAGTCTTTGTTGACCTCCAGCAGGCCTATGACAGAGTATGGAGAAAAGGTCTCCTGATGAAGATGATGAGCATAGGAATACATGGCAGATTGTATAACTGGGTGAAATACTTCCTGATAGATAGAACAATCCAGACTAAGATGCACAACGCAATCTCTTCTAAAGAAGTCTTGGAGGAGGGCTTGCCACAAGGCTCATCATTGAGCTGTACACTATTCCTAATCTTTATCAATGACCTGCCAGAACAAATCAAAGCCGAAAAAGCCTTGTACGCTGATGACCTAGCAATATGGCAGAGTCATGAAAATGTGGAAAGTGGAGCCCAAAGACTGAATGGAGACCTTAGAAGACTGCATGAGTACTGCCAAAGATGGAAACTCAAGGTTAACTGTGCAAAGACGGTCTACACAATCTTTACCAAAAGCCACCAAGTAGCAAGGAAGAATATTAACCTGAGGTTAGACAAACACCAAGTGATGAAAGAAGAACATCCCACATACCTCGGAGTCACACTTGACCAGCAGCTCAGCCTCAAGAACCATACTGAAAACATCAGGAATAAGGCATTGAGGCGGTTACAGTTATTAAAGAGACTTGCAGGTACATCATGAGGATCAGACAAGGAAACTCTGAGGGGCTTATATCTAGGAAATGTTCGCTCTGTGATAGAGTACAACAACTCACTGCTTACAACTTGCTCCAAAACTAACCTAGAGACTCTTGGCAGAGTACAAAATAATGCCCTCTGATTAATCTGCGGAGCTATGCAGTCTACACCAACTGCTGCATGTGAAATCCATACAAATGTGGAACCCCTCAGGTTGCGGAGAGAAAAAGCCACTTTAGAAATTTATGAAAGATGCGTTAGGAAAAATCGTAACCATCCTAAGAGACATCTTGTAGAAAACTGGGAATACAAACAAAGAATAAAGCACAAATCGGTTTTACACTGTGTTAATGAAATTCAGGACAGATACCACCTCCCAGAAAGACGTCAAGGAATTCAGAATGTTGCAAGAAACCTACCACTACATGCTCGCTTTAAAGCTCCAGAAGTCCGAACTAAATTGGTAGGCGAGGAAACCAAACAGTCCGACCCAATCGCTCTTATGAACTCATCACTAAAGACCGTTGATTCTTACCCCCAAGAATGGATACATGTCTATACTGATGGATCAGCATTTAAAGCTACCATTAAAGCAGGTTACGGAATCTACATAGGTTATCCCGATGGATCTGTTGAAGAGATTTTTGATGCATGCGGGGAATTCTGTTCAAACTATGAAGCTGAAATAATTGCACTGGAAACAGCAGTATACCACCTAAAGACTGTAATGGATGTTTACCCTTCAAAGGTCAAAAATATTGTCATCTTCACAGATTCAATGTCTGCCCTTCAAGCTCTGGAGGGCAGTGAACGCTGCAGAACTGATATAGCCAAGATAATCCTGGATGCTGATCAGCTTATTACCTCATACAACATCAGAATAGTGATGCAGTGGATTCCAGGTCACTCTGGCACACCAGGTAATGACAGAGCTGACAGATTGGCAAAGAAAGGAGCAACACAAGAACAACCACCTACAGCGACAACCCTCCAGAAAGCAAAAACACTGATAAGAGCTATAAACAAAGAGACTTGGTTGAACAAATGGGCCATGGGAGACACTGGAAGAGAGGTTTATAGACATATGTCTGGCCCTGATCCTAATGACAGCATTAACCATCTTACAAGAAGGGACCAGGCCACCATCTTCAGACTTAGAACGCAGCATACTCCACTCAATGGACACTTAAACAGAATACAGCCACAACACTCCCCAGAGTGCCAGCTATGTAACTACCCCTACGAAACTGTTGAACACCATCTCTTTGAGTGCCCAGAACTCAGTTAGACAAGAAGAACGCTACTCCCTCCGAGACCAGACAAGTGGAACACCTTGTACGGAGGAAAAGAACAGCTTGTGAAAACATGCAAATTCCACTACATGGCATTGGGCCAAAGGGCGAAAGCTCATGCGCCGCTGGATCGATAACAACAATATATATATATATATATATATATATATATATATATAATGTGTGCAGTAACTTGTATACATGAGTAATATTCTGTCATTTGTGATGCATCAGCAGAAATGGTGGGACTGAAAAAAAAAATAAAAAGAAAACTAAGATCATGACAAACAGTCCAAACCAACAACCAGTGACCATAAGTAACCAATTACTTGAAAATGTAGAACATTTCACATATCTTGGCAGTGTGGTGTCCCTACTAGGAGGGACAGAGGAAAACATACAGTCACGCCTGAACAAAGCTAGAGCTGCTTTTGGAAGGATGAGGCAAATCTGGAAATCCAACAGTTACTGCAGACTCTGACTCTACAAGAGCATTATTTTGCCAGTTCTTCTTTATACAGCAGATTGCTGGAGAAAGACCAAAAAGGATGCACACAAGCTGTCCACCTTCCACCACACATGTCTATGCAAAATTATCAAAATTTTCTGGCCAGATACAATCTCAAACACTAAACTACTTCAAGTCACAAACCAAGAAACTCTAGACAGTATGATAACAAAGAGAAGATGGAAATGGCTTGGCCACGTTATGAGAATGAATCTTGATATACCTGCCAAAACAGCTTTCACATGGACACCAGAGGGAAAGAGAAAAAAGGGGCGCCCAAAATCAACATGGATACGAACAATAGAAAGTGACCTGAGTGTGGCATCTTTGACATGGAAAACTGCAATGAAGATTGCACATGACAGGAAAGCATGGAAAGTCCTCTCTGAAGCCTCATGTGCCACTAGGCATAACGAGAACTGATGATGATGATTTGTGATGCATAATTTGCAGCTAGAGAGTTCTTCTTCTTCTCTGCATTCATCGGCTGTAGACTCCTGCAAAAGGTTATAGTTGTTTGTTCACTTCTGGATTTTAGTTTTGTTTTACAATCTGAATGTTGTGTGCACATTCGTTTTACAGATATGACATATTTGTATGCAGACTGCTGGTTCCTTGACTCTCAGGCAGGTGCAACTCAAAAGAAACCCCTAATTAGTCAACTCTTACAATTGCTTGTTAGGGAGGTGGTCTATTCTTTACATCCTCCTGATAATATCCTGGAACCCACACAGGGAGCTCAAAGAGTTAACTAAATTGTATTCGGAACCTGTCAGTCAAGAATAAGATTCAGTGAGTGATTATATCTACATATATAAATACATGCAAACATTGATATTTTTAAAAAAAACATACCAACACCACAAATATACTTGCCAAAACTGGCTCATGCTCATATTCCATTCTAACCAATGGGTTCTTGTGTTCAACTTGCCATGTGGTTTTGAATGACTTCTCTGGCACAAGTTGTATGATCTGATGACGAGACTTCTCTGCACATCGACTGAACAGAGCCACATCAGAATAAAGGTAGAGCTGAAATATTCACAATGTTTAATAACTGTTGACATCATATAAGACTGAAACCTTTTACAAAATGAGTTGAATTTAGCCCTTGCAGCGTGGCACCAGAAGATGTTGAGCATGTGCTCCAACACTGTTAATTGTATGCTGCAAACAAAGATGCAGTCTGTTTCAACCACAATGAAAAAAACTGTATGGGACACGAAGAGATATGGACTGCAATATAGCTTTTATAAAGGCCACCGGCCTCCTATTTTTTCTGACAGAAGAATCGAGAAAAGAAGACGAAGTTGAGTTAAGAACTGAAACCACAGCACTCAGGTCATTCCCATAAGTGCTCCCTCTCCATCTTCGGCCCGCAGTGCAGGATTTCAAATTGGGGTGGTATTATTAGCGGTCTGATTATGTTACCATCTTGCCTTTCCACTGAATGTTTAGTACTGGCCAGATCCCCTGGTCACTATCTACTGCACCATTCTCTTCATACTGCAATGATCTGTGTGTGCTTCAGCACTGTTTACTCACCCCCAAAGGGCCTTGTCTGCATCAAGTATGACATGCATCACTTATACATCAAGTGTTGAATTAATCAAGAACAAGATGGAAAAATAACATCAGAGAAACTATAACAGTATGATGTGCATATGCTTGAGGCAGCCAGAAGAGAAAAAACCAGAAACATATCTTCCCTGACAGCGGTAAAAGAGAAGAAAGAGAAGAAGCTGAACAAATGAAAAATACATTTATAAATCTTAATGTAAAATTATGTAAATCAAAATATCCTAAATAAACGAGTTGCTGAATGTACATGGGCTGGGAGCTCATGCAGCATAGTGGCTAGTTTGCTATCTGCCAATCTGGTAGTCATGTGCTTAGAATCTCTATGCATATATATTGGGATTTATAACTATGAACCTGGGCTCCTATAATATGTTCTCGGAAGTTAAAGCAGAGAGCATTCTCCGCATATTTACTGCATCACCTGTTGAGTTAAATATATTTCCTCTACAGGATATCGCAGAACAGCCTCAGCATTTTTTGGCTGTTTGTGATTTCCCTAGACAATTTTACATTCAGTAGTTTGCCACTGCTTTCTTAAACCTAGTGAGTACTGATTGGTTTATAACAACAGACGGTCAACACTTCTCAAGATGTGGAAATCGTCAATCTTCTACTTTTTTTTTTTTTTGACTGTTGCAATATTTATGTGTCAGGTTAACTTGCCAACATTCAGTAGGATTGTGTGCAATAAGTGCTCAGCTCAGTGCTTAAGCTCAGCTTAAAATGAAACACAATTAAAAATAATTAATAACTTGGGATTTTTCATCCTGTGCTTGTCATTACTGACTAATTTTAATTAATTTTTCAAGAAATATTCTTCCAACCACTCACTGTTTTAGTGATATTTATTACACAAGGCAAGTTGTCCAACTTTCCAGATGTATGTAATTGAAAAATATGTAGGACTCCCAATAAACTTTATATAGATATTTGTCTCTAAGCCAGTGTTGAATCTCTGACTGATAAATAATGGGACACTATTGCCTGCGGACATCTGAACAGGACCATTGGGACCAGCTTCAGTGTGTGCAACTTTGCAGTCTACTGCATCCTGCTGTAATATTTGTTCACTGTTTTTGCTTGGTCAAGTTAGTGATAGATATCTCAATAGCTTGTTTCTCTACTAGCTTAACAGATGAAGTGACTACTGGAGGAAAGCAGAAAAGATTAGAATTGTATTATCAGTGCCTGCATAATCATTTGTTTTGTCATGTTAAGACCCTTGACTTGACATTTATGACCACTGATAGACATATAATATGACTGAATAAACCACCTGATTGACTTCAACAGAGCAAACACAATAGCAAACAAATTATGAAAATCGAACAGAAGACAGTAATTGATGGTAGAGATACTATAATCGGTCAATATAATGAGCACCAAACTAACCAGTCAGCACTAAGATGATATCCCTACAAACAAGATGCAGAAAACCGGGTTCAACAAACATGGGAGGCTAGAACTACCAAAAATAAGAAACACAATGAAATAACACCATGAACAGGAGGCAAAATTATACTTATGCTATCTGGGAGAAGCTAGCACCCTAGGTAGAGGTTAAACTTGGCCAATTCAAACTGATGACGATGACTTTCTTAAAAAAATGTTGAAGTTTACATTATTTATTGGCACTACCTTTGGTACAGCATTTCTTTGTAGCATGCCTTACCATTTGATGATTGAAGCAGAGTAACACCTTACCATGTTGGTGGAGTTACATACTACCTGAAAATGGGCATGGAATAATTAACAGCTTAATAGTAGGAATATAGCCTGGACAATTGATAAACAAGCCAAAGAATTCTTTGATGTGTAGTTTTACAGAAGAATCCTTAGAATTACTTGGACAGCCAAAAAGAGCAACCTAGATATTTTGAAAGAGGTAATGGCTTAAAGATATCTTAGCACGAACATCAGAAAGAGGCAGTTATTTTTTTTTTTGGGGTTATTTTATGAGAAGAGGGACACAGGAACACATTGTGACCACTGGAAAGTCTCTGCAGAAGAAAGACAAAGGAAGACGAGATGATTGTTGACTGTTTTTTGTCATGGCAACACACAAACTGCTAAATGCTGTTTAAGATCACAGATTGTGGAGAGGCATGATCATCCATGCAAGTCGGCAAGACAATTCATGATGATTAATAGTGGGAGTGAAGTACTTAACATTTGACTGCTGAGCGATTAATAGTTTAACGAGACAGGACCTGGGCTTCAAAATTAAACAGACCTAAGCTTGAACCAGAAAATTGTCTGGTAGGTAAAATCAGTTTAAATTACCCTGACCACACAACTATCAAGTGCTGATTGGCCTATCAAACATATGGAGCTTGCATCATATGCCCCTTAAGCCTCAAAGCATTGACAACACATTATGTTGTTTGTTTCTTATTTTTTATTAAATTCTGAAATTCTGGTGAACACAGCACACATGCAATGAGCCACATACTTTATCTCCCATGCCTGTGTCAGACAGATAATTTTGTATTTTAAGAAAATGAATCTATCTCTAACCATATCTATTTTAAACATGCAAGATGAAACATACAGCACTTACATTGCCAGATTCTGGTGTACACAGCACACATACTTTATCTTCCATGAATCTATCTCCAACTGTATCTATTTTAAACATGCAAGATGAAACATCCAACACTTACATTGCCAGATTCTGGTGTACCCAGCACACATACTTTATCTTCCATGAATCTATCTCCAACTGTATCTATTTTAAACATGCAAGATGAAACATCCAACACTTACATTGCCAGATTCTGGTGTACCCAGCACACATACAATGAGCCACATACTTTATCTCCCATGAATCTATCTCCAACTGTATCTATTTTAAACATGCAAGATGAAACATCCAGCACTTACATTGCCAGATTCTGGTGTACCCAGCACACATACAATGAGCCACATACTTTATCTCCCATGAATCTATCTCCAACTGTTTCTATTTTAAACATGCAAGATGAAACATCCAACACTTACATTGCCAGATTCTGGTGTACACAGCACACATACAATGAGCCACATACTTTATCTCCTATGAATCTATCTCCAACTGTTTCTATTTTAAACATGCAAGATGAAACATCCAACACTTACATTGCCAGATTCTGGTGCAGCTGTCATCAACATAAAAGGCTGGCCAAACCGTAACTTGTCACCAATCTTTGCAAAGTCATCACCACTAGATAAATAACATAAAATACTTGACCACACATTACTTCTTATAGATCAGTGTTTCCCAAATCTTTCTTAGTTACGGCGCCTTTTTTTTTTTCAATTAAAATTTGTCTTCGGCGCCCTAACCTAAGTAAAAGTATGACCATTTATATGTGAGAGATTTAAAAAAAAAAACTTGTGTATCATCGAATATTTCGCGGCGCCCCTGTGAAGAGGTCACGGATCCTCAGGGTGTGCGGCGCACAGTTTGGGAATCACAGTTATATGTTGTTGGTCATCTTATATGTGCACTCCTCAAGTGGGTTCCAGGGCCGCATTTCAGGGGAAGAAGAACAGACCCACTGCCCCTCTAACAAGCATGTCGCACAAGATGACTAACTGGGGATATTTCTTTCAAAGTCACAGTGTGTCTGCATAAGAGTTGAGGAACTTACAGTCTGTATGTGAATAAACCAGATCTGTAAAATTGATGTGCACGTAAAACTCAACTTCTGGAACAAGACCAAAGTCCAGAAGTGGATGAACAACCAGGACCTTTAGATGGAGTTTACAGATGGTGAACAAGAAGAATAAAAATATAGCTGTGTGCGTCTTTCTATGGCATGTATTGTCTATTATTTCTGATAAATATGTTTTACAGGCATGAGGACAAACTAACATGTTCTCTTTTTTATTTCCCTCTGCCTCTCTTTCTTTTAACTCTCTTGCTGCCATGACATACTCCATTTGTCCCTTCTCATGATGTATCCTTCTCATCACTCAAATATTAAACAACCTCCAACATAATGTTTTCAGCTGACTGTTCATTTCTAAACATCAAGATTGTCCCTCTCAAGACCTCTCTTTCTTTTCTCAGTTGAAATTGTACAGGGTATTCTTTGTCCGGTGGATTGCTGATTTTGCTTGAGTATTCTACACTTAACTTCTGTCATTCATATCCTGTTTGCTGGTATAACTATACATAAGCCCTTATTTTTACTATAATTTTCTGTCACACGACTGGGTAAAAATAGTTTTCAGCTGTTAAAAACATACATGTCGCTCTTAGAATATAGACAGCATAGTGGATAATGTGTCAGCTTTTACAAACAGCCATTTGGGTTCGACCGTTGTTCAGCATAATATAGTAAATATCAGAAAGGTATAAAAAAAATAATTATATAAATTATACCCTTTGTAATATAATTCTGTAAGCTACGATATATTCATACTCCCATACTCTTCCTGCCATGGCTGGGACTGAGCTCAGATAACAGATTGGTAAGGAAGGACACACACCACCATGTCAACACAGTGCTGGAAACATTGTATAATTATGTAACTGTGTATTCAGCACATTGTAGAAACTTTTTGGCATTATGTAACACTGTTTTCATCATATTGTAGAAATACTGAGGTATTATGTAACATTGCATTCATCATGTTAATTGATTTGATTTGATTCAAGAACCGACATCTCAGCACTCGGGCACTCCCATAAGCACTCCGTCCCCATCTTCAGCAGCCAGCAAATAGTTCCGTCTTGCCTTTCTTCTTCGAGCATCTGCCAGAACCTCTCGTCACTCCCCTCTGCACCAACCTCATCAGACTGTGGTGATCCATTTGCTCCTCCGAACTGTACACGCTCTCCCACAAGGCACTAACCACGTCTGCTTTATCATGTATCAGAATTCCACCAAGTTGTGCAGAGCCAGCCAGTCTTCATCATGTTGAAGAAACACTGAGGTATTATGTAAAAGTGTATTCATCATGTTGTAGAAACATGGCGGTATTATGTTACACTGTATTCAGCATATTGTAGAAACATTGTGGTATTACATAACACTGTACTCATCATACTGTAGTTACATTGTGGCATTATGTAGCGGTGCAATTATCATATTGTAGAACACATTATGGTAGTATATAAAAGTATTCATCATGTTTTGAGTGAACAAAATATAAAAGTGTTCATCTTGTTGTGAATAACACCATGATATTACATAAAAGTATAAATCACATTGTGAAAACAATGTGATATTATATAAAAGTATTTATCATGTTGTGAAAGCATTGAAAACATAAGGTAAAGAACTAATTTAACACTGGTAGCACATTAGGCATATGATGTTGAACACATACTTTTATGGTCAATATAATCCTAGCTGCCTTTACTTTGCAGGACATTACTGATACCAACTTTAGAGAGCATCCTAGCAATATGTAATATATGCAGCGGTGAGCACTGCCATTATGCTTTAGTATACAAATTTTAAATATAGTTACATTATCACACATTACAAATAACTGTAACATACGGCATGATTTTAAAAGCTGTACGAAAAGAAGGAACAAGTTTTTTGCAGCCTGTAACAGCCAGAGGTGCAGGGCTATTTTGGTCAGAAGAATTCACATCAGGCATATGAATGGCCAAAGTGCTGTCATCACGAGGGAGCTCACCAACACAGTAAACAGTGCGATCAGGATTTCCTGCAGTAGTAAATCAAGTCAAAAAAGTAATTAACTGTAGTTCAACTTTTCAAAGATTTAATTAATTGCAAGTGAAACAACAGAATATTTCTTAATGGAAATATTACAAGCTAGTTACACATCAAAATGTTGTGAAACAACAGAATATTTATTAACGAAAATGTTATCAGTTATATTATAAAATAATTCTATGCAGTCACCATTCTCAGTCAGTCAGCCAATCAGTCAGTCAGTCAGTCAGTCAGTTTAGTTAGTTAGTTAGTTAGTTAGTTAGTTAGTTAGTTAGTTAGTTAGTTAGTTAGTTAGTTAGTTAGTTAGTTAGTTAGTTAGTTAGTTAGTTAGTTAGTTAGTTAGTTAGTTAGTTATTTAGCTAGTTAGTTAGTTAGTTGGGTTATCATCATTGAACTCCGGACATGTCCATAGGTGCTCAGATCCTTCCCTAAGTATGAATCCCAGCATCTGGTGGCTAATAGTATCAGTTCAATGTTGATTAACAAGTCCTCTGATGTGCCTAATGTGCGTCTCGTTTTTTGCCACAAGGAACTTGAGCGCCAAGTCTATCATTCCGGTGAGTGATGTGGATTCACTGCCCCCAAAAGTCCTCCATCCTTCACATTTTTCAGAGGGAATTCATAAAATCGGTATGATCCATATGTTTACCGTCAGTAGTAATTGTTGATCTAGTCTGAACCTCTCTGAACCCTCCAGACCTAAGTCACTGAATCACTGAGTACACATGTGCAGGTGTAGTTTTGTGTTTTAATCCATGCGATTGCTGGCGTTACTTCCATCACCTCCATGCTGCTGGTTGTTATGGAAAAGGCGCAATTGGCTTCTTTAACTGTTTGCCTGCTGAGAATGCAGTGAATGCCCATACACTTCTTTTCTGGCATATAATGGATCCATCTGTGTAGATTAGAACAAAGGCCTCGTCTCAATTTTTACTGATGAGAGGGTTGTCCTATGCTGGTTAACAAGACTTTGTGTGCATCTGGTGTGCTTCTTATGCTTGGCTGTGCCGATCTTGACTTCCAATTCTTGTATTCTTAGCAGTGATGTGGACACGTTGCTTACAAAATCCTAAGAACATCCTATCTCTCTAAGGTCAATGAAAATGTCTGGATGATTCATGGGCAGGCCATCTTTAATGAATGTAGCATCTGCCAGTCTATCAGCTCTTTCATTACCAACAACGCCTGCATACTCTGGGACAAAAGCAGGAGTGTTAGGAAATGAACAGGCAGACAGACTGGAGGGTTCTGCACCAATGGGTGATGAAATTATGCATGACAAGCTTTATGTGGTCAAGGCCCATCGGGAGCAAGTAAACAAAGCAGAGGCATCAATCAAATCGATCACTATGGTCTGGAGAGAATACTACAGCTGGGAGTGACCAGGGGATCTGGTAAACAGTCTACATTTAGAGAAAAAGCAAGACAGACATTTAATCAAACTGCTACTGGCACCCTTTGAACTGGAACTCTTTGCTGGATGCTGAAGTTGAGGATGGAGCGCTTATGGGAATTCCCAAGTGCTGTGATGTCAGCTCAATACTCAAGGCGACTGCAGTTCATTCATTGCTGTCTTTGGGAATATGATGTAGTGAGGCCCCAATTTTCAGCTCTATTAACCTCTTGTGTTATTTTTGCAACTCAAGGTTATTCCTATGTAGGTGCATGCTCTCTCAATTCCAGAGATACATAGAATAGTAATTATTTAAACACAGATACTGTATTCCTGAAAATGTGTTCAACTTTCCGTGTTTAGTCTTTCACTACCAGGCATATTTTATCTTAACTCACTCTGTCCTAAGTAGTTGTTATGTAGGGTTCAAAATGTTTGGATTTAATTAAATTCAATAATAACACTATATTAAAAACCTAATGACTGTGAATTTTAAGACAGAACAGTCTAATATCTGGATGATACAAATGAAAAGCATAAAATGAGTAACTGTGTTTGGTACTGAATGAGTTTAATATTCTAACTACAATGTCATAATTACCTCTATTGACAACCATTACGGTATCCCCAAACCTGATAGAACCATCTGAAGTGCTACTCAGTTCCATCTGGCAAATCAAAAATATAAAACTGTTTCAAAGCAATAGTGTGAAAATTTTTTTATTTTTTTAAATGTTGCAGTCTCGACTTTTTAATGTTACCATCTTCCCTTTTTATTTTGCCATCTGTACTATTTGTTTCCGTCTCCATAATGGAGGTTGGCTGCAACATATCCACTAATAATTATGGGAATAATATGTGCTACAAAGTTCCAATCTTTTTCATTCTTCCACTCCCACACCACTGTCTAAAAGCCATGAAAATGGCCTCAGCATCCTAGAACTTTCATAAAAAGTTGGAAGAAGTTTTTATACCAAGCTCAGTCTGACTCATGTAAGCCCTTAAAAGCTCAAACAATATGAGTTATGATTTTGATTATCTTAACAGTGTTCTTACATTACATAGGTGCTCAAATTCCCTCTCAACATACACACAAGTGTCCCATGGTTAATGGTGCCAGACCAGTTCTGGTTGAAAACAATATGAATGCCAAAGCATCAGACTCAAAACTCAGTTTTTCAGAGGTTTCACCAATCAAGCACATAATGAATACTTCCTTTGACTCTTAGTTAATTTGTTGTTCTGTTCTTCCTTTCTGCATCAATGACCTTGGATACAATTGCAAAATAAAAAAGGGTAAGTATTCTCCAGCAGATTCTATACATGTGTATAGCCATCTGGAGAAATCAGAAACATGCTTAAGATATTACACATTTTTCAGAAAAACATTAAACAATCATTTTACTGGAATAGACATTTTGCCCAGCAGGCCACTTGATTTTTGAATTAGCAGTTGACCATTGGCTCTTCTGGTGAGGAAATCTTTAAGCATGTCCTAGGAAGAAACAATGCAAACAAAGGTTCAGGTGAATGTAAATGCAAGTACAATGTTCAAGTTGTCCAATATTATACAGTGTTAAAGTTAGTTGTGTATCCTATATAAGATGTTGCAGAACCAACACCAGCATTTTTTGGCTGTTGTGGTTTTTCTAGGCAAATTTTACGTTCAGTAGTTTGCTGCTGCTTACTAAACGATCAGCTCTCAGTACCACTGTCAAAACCAATACCAGGCAAATCGTCAGCAGCCGGGATCGGAACCAGGAAACCCGACAGTATGAAACATGTTCACAACACCTAAGCGACAGACATCGACATTATACAGTGTACAACTTAAAAAAGCTAGAAAATAATGATGACTGTTTTGGTCTCAGCAGGCAAACAGTAGACAGAATAATCATTTTGTTCCTGTGCATGGCATGCCAAAGCATGAGTGTAAGTCTTAGCTGCTGATTATTTGCCATCATCATGGTGATTTTTTTTGTGAGTTGCTTTTAGTCTCAAAATGTATGCAGTGTGTAGTCCTTGGCACATTTTAGAACAGTGGAGACAGTGAAAAATGTGGAGGTGAGGGGGGAACCACCTCATTCAAAATCCAGTTGTCACCTTGTGGAAAATGTTGAAAGTGCTCTGTTCTACTACTGTTTCTTGCTTTCTCTTACTGTTGCTAGTGTTGTTTCTGTTGCTGGGAAAACTTATTTCATGTAACAGCATGCTTTTTTTTTTTCGAGGCAGCAATCACTGGCAATAGTTAAATCACTTTACTCAGCTACAATTTCTTATGGCACTATTAGTGTTTTGTAGTACAGTAGAACCTCGCTTAACGAGCACCTCTTATAACGAGTAATTCGCATAACGAGCAAAACAAATTGATAAAAAATGACTCGCTTAATGAGCGACATTTCACATAATGAGTGGCGAGGTAAGGGGAAGTCCCGAATTGTGCGCATGTTACATCAGTCTGTGTTTAGCACACATTCCAGTATCATCGTAGTGTCGCTTGTGATCACACATTTTCTCAAACTTGTGTTATATTGTGATATATGTACATGAATCCTCCAGGCCTACAAGATGAAGTTTCTGCCTCCCAACACCGCTCTGTTACTCCAGCCCAAAGACAAGCAAGTTATTTCTAACTTTAGGAAGCTCTACACTAAAGCACTCTTCGAGCATTGTTTTCAGATGACCAAAGGGATCAACCTCACTCTCAAAGAATTTTAGAAAAAATTACTTTCATATCGTTGTCTGCCTCAAGATGATGGACAAGGCGGGGGAAGGGTTACCTAGAGAGCGTTTGGCCAGAGAGCGTTGTCGATTTGTGACTTTGAGGGGTTCGAGTGAGTACCTGTGGAACCTGTAGTCAACGAGATTGGGTCTTTGGCCACTATCATGGGATTGTAGGTGGATAACAGTGATATCGAAGAGCTTGTGGGAGAGCACAGCCAAGAGCTGACCACCCAAGAGCTTATGGAGTTTTAAAGTTTTTCACAGCAAGAAGTTTTGGAGGAAAGTTTGTCGAAGGAAGTGAAAGAAAAGCAACACTCTTCTGGTGAAAAAAGAGAAATGCTGAAGGCATGGCAAACTGTTGCATCTTACTTCGAGAAGCACCACCCTAATAAAGAAGTGGCTATGCGCATTGCAAATTTATTTAATGATAATGCTGTGTCGCATTTTCACCAAATTTTGAAGCGTCGGCAAAAACAAATGTCTCTGGACATCTTTATAGTAAAAAAAAAATAATTAGCTAAGTATCATAAATATTTTGACTTTTTTTCTGCAAATCGAATTTGCATTTCAGGTGGGTTCGTTCCGCGTTTGAAGAGAAGATGATTCACTCTCCCTAACAATATGTATATAATTTTCTTTGAATAAGCGTTATACATAGCATTTTGTGAGTATTTTTTTTTTCGACATGGAACACATTATCGTATTTTACATTAATTTATATGAGAAAAATTGTTTCGCATAACGAATTATGCTCGTTAAGCGAGGTTCCACTGTATTATTATTTATAAAAGCTGCAATAGGACAATGGCTTTGTGTTTTCTTCTTGGCCTAAAAATGATTTGCAAAACTGACCTTGCCAAGGTTGACTAAAATAAGTATCAAGAAATACCCTGAGAAGTAAAAGCGGCCAGCATGACATTGGCAAACATCAACATTGAGTACCTATTGGTCTACACAAAAATATGGGCCAAGCATCACAATTCTTGCACTTTAGTGATAGGAAAATGGTCTTGTACATTACTAAATGTTGCTTACCTCTTTGTAAATATTGAACACAGGTGTGAAGTAGTGATACATGACTCAAAACTGGTGCGCAGGATACAGATACACAGAAATACATTTGGCTTTCATTGCCTACATTGGTCTGATCCCTTGACGATGTCAAAAGGGTGGTCAGAAAATTAAGTAACAAGAGTAAGGCCCCAGAAATGCCTATTTCCATGATTTGAGGCATTCTGTAAATACAGTACTAATCCCATTTCTGTAGAGAATGGATCAGTCAGCACTCGATATGGTTACTATCAGACAGGCGGTATTTTATTTTTTCTATAAAATTCCTTTAGCTAAGTTGACTTAGCAGCCCAGGATATTTTCATAAATGTTGGAGAGAAAGACAGTGGGAAACCGAGAAAGAAGATACTGAACAATTTGGCCATGGAAGAATATCTGTATCACAAAACATTGGCAGCAGATGAGACCAAAGGCCCTCATGAACATAGTGATAAAAATCACACACCACCAATGGACTACATGCAGTATTTATATGGGACGATAATTAACCTATCGTTAAAGTGCATTTGTTTCTTCAGGTAAGTCAAATGTAGTCGCAAGGTTCGTAATCTAGTGTGCTCTTTTTATAATTTTAATTTTTAGTTAATTACAGTATTTATTATGTAATCTGGTGTTCACTTATCTTTAAGTCTCTAAATTTATGAGTAGCAATCAATATCATTATCGTGAATGTTTGATGGTTGCAGAACCAACCCCTATAGCCATAGGCCGTTGTGTGGTTTTTATAATAGGCAAATTGAAATTTACGTCCAGTAGTTTGCCATTTCTTCCTGGACGGTCGGCTTTGTTGATAGTTGATACGACTGTTAAAACCAACGCAAGGCGCATGGCCCGCGAATGTTGATACTGAATACTGCAGTTATAATATAGCACTTTTTTAAAGAACGATGTTCAATGTTCAGAAACAAGATTTTAAAATGATTTTATTATTTTTGGTTAGTTTTTCTCACCTCTTCTAGCTGGATGTCTTCATTCCAGTTTCCAACACGAACTGAAGAATTGTATGGTCTAACGTGTGCCATATTTAAAATAACTTGCAGAAACGAATAGCTAATAGTAATAGTAATAAATAACTTATCTTCAGAGTAATGTAGCTTAGGAATAAAGTTGTTTTCCTTAACAACAGATGGCAGCAACGGAGTAAATAATGCTGTTCCGCAAACAATTCTTGTTGTTAAAACTTGAACACTTTAAATGTATCTAGGCGCTTCGGATTAGTGAATGTTAAAATTTGAATTAGGAATCGACATCACAGCAATCGGGACACTGTAATAAGCGCTTTGCCTCATCTTCAAAAGCAAGCGAAGAGTTCCAATTCCTATGACATCAGTAACTGCTGATTCGGGCAGCGTTAGCGCAGTCGATAAGAGGCTCACTTTCAAATCCAGCTGCGACTCGGTCGGTGTTTGAAACCGGGCGGTTCCCGGTGTTCACCCAGCCTCTAGGAAATGGGAACCAGAGTTGACACTCTGGAGTAAATGGAGGAACGTCGCTGTAGCTACAGAGTTAGATGCGAACGGCGACACAGGCGGACAATTCTCATCAGCTGCCCGTGGCAGAGCACTTATGGTTTTTAACCATATGCAATGACGCTGTTCACATCTCCCGACTGTATCTTTACCTTTACTGATTGTATATTCGTCTCGCCCTTTTCCCTGAGTCTTGAGTGTCGCCCAGATCCAGTGGTAATTCCTTGCAACGCCATTTTCCTTTGACCGTAATGATCTGTCTGTGGCTCTGCGCTACGGATTAGTGAGCATTTTATTATTAAAGACAATTAAAAGTTTTCGAAGTACGCAAGCAGAGATTATTTTATTGTTTTGTATTTATGTATTTTGTTTGTATGTGTGTGTGGTGCATGGACGTCGAAACCTGAACAGATCCTCAATGGGTCTGCCCCAGGGATCACGCTCTTGCCGGTGCTCTGCAATGCCTACACAACGAATCGCCAGTGCACAAAGAGCAGGCATGAGCAGAACAAAATCGTATGCAGATGATATCTTGGTGTTTCGTCGAATTAGAAACAAGCACGAAATTATACCGCGCTAAAACATGAACTAGGCAGATTCAATGAGCGGTGCTAGGAATCGAGAGCCCAAATGAACACATCAAAAGCCTCCTGAACATGGTGCTCTCTGAATGCACACATTGTCAGTATACCAGCACCACTCGTAAGCATGAAAGGTATTGACATCGAGAGAACGGACACGATGAAATACCTGGGCATGACATTTGACTAATGCTTGTCACGCAAGTATCACGCTGACAACGTTATACTTAGAGCCAGAAAAGGTCTATCAACACTCACTGTGCTAGCATCAACCGATATTGAACAACACCTACTTTTCCTTCTCTATTAAGGGCTTTTTTATGCGTAATTGACCATGATACCACTTTTGAGCCACGTCTCTAGATTTCCTTGGGATTCTTGAAGCCTTGTCTGTGCTGTGACAATATACTCCTCCACGCTGCCTAGCGTCAAATCACTGGCATAATGATAGCTTGAACTCCATTACAGAGGCTTGATTTTATATCATTAATATAAATAAGAAAAAGAACTGGAGACATCATTTCGCATTTTCCAGAAATTATCTAAGGCCAGCCAAGCCTAAAAGGGTACCCGATAAAGTCACGGGAAGTAAAGGGGGCCGATGTGATGTTGAACCCTACTAATGCCCAAAAACCTGAATGCGTGGAAAAGGGGTCTTTACTCTTTTACTTTTCCTGTTAAATAACTGCAGCATAAATATCAGATCATGAAAGATTGTATATTTGTGTTCTGATAATTGTGCCTATGTGGTATGTGGTGTTGATGTTGTTAAAGACGATAATGATGATAATGATGTTGGTTGTGTTGATGGTGACTGTCCTTGATTCGTGACAATCTCGTAGAATCTCGCGTTTGACGTATAAATATTTTGGCAGCCATCTTAGTTAATTAGGGAGAGGTTGGACGGGCTCTGTTGTAGGCGGGTTGTAGATTTGTGGCTATAGTTGACAACTTCGTATTATTTGGAGCTAAATACTTTCTTCACTACAATGTCAGGCGCATATTCCCGATCAAGTGGCCTTATCCAGAGGCGAACTGCTGCAGTTAACAACAACGCGTCAGAGGTATCAGGTGACGACAAGGAGGATCAATTGAACGACAGAGAGACAGAGGAGGATCATGATTCGAAGGAAACGAGGCTTACACTGATGGAAGAAGTTTTGTTGCTGGGATTGAAGGATCGTGAGGTGAATGTTATACAGAGAGCAGCTGAAATAATAATCATTGCGTATTGAGTACCCAGGACTCAATTTTGAATTTATTTAAATTTCTCGACTGACTGACTGGACGTTGTCGTTACAATGTTACATTTCTTATTATTTATTATAAGTAGTCAGTCGACAAACAGGTCAAAAATAATTTTTTGGGGGGGAAGGGGGGGGGGGGCCGGGGGTGGATTTCAAGGTCAGGAAATGAAACTATTATTTTAAATAATTATATGAATGCGAAAATAGTTTACAAGTATAGTTTTGACTTCGAAGTTATTAACTGCAGCAACAATTAGTACATTTCTTCAGATGTTTGCTAATTGATTCTCAGCTATTGCTTATGAGGCTATCCTCCGAATAACGGCCACAGATTATGGCGGCCAAAAACACACCCTGACAGGGCCTCAATCATTGCAGAGTTCCGGCACCACCGAGAGTATCTCTATCTCCCATGCCGCTACGTGCGGCGTGGAGTGGGGCTAAACTAGATGACGGGGACTCACGAGCAAATAAAAGGAAGGAAGCTGCAGGAGATGCAGTAGCTGCTGCTTGTGAGTCCCAGCCATCTAGTTTAACCCCACTCCATGCCGCTACGCGCGGCATGGGAGATACTCGTGGCGGTAGTTGCTGGAAGTCCACAATTCAAGTCGCCGGAAGTCCGCAATTTACATGTGACTGAGGCCCTGTCAGGGTGTGTTTTTGGCCGCCATGATATGTGCCCGTTATTCAGAGGATAGCCGCTTATGATTTATTATATACTTTTATGATTATTACGTGTGCGGATTTTTAAATTATCACCAGTGCAAAAATATAAGCCCGCAGCTAAATTGCTTTCCTATATAGCATTTGCCATTTTGTCTAGCTTGATCCATGCCCTTCTCATCTGTGTTTTATTATTAATATTATTATTTCTAAATATATTGCTTCTCTATTAGCATCACTACTTCAGTCAGGGACATTTTCCTCTATCACCTGAGTACTTTTTTTTGGCAGTACTTGAAACGGCAACCCTAGGTACGCAGTCCATTGCTTGTGGCGGCCGTATGAAATGCAATCCCTTGTTTGTGTACACTCATATAATAATATTCTGTAATATTTTATATTGTCTGAGGTTAGAATTCAGCTCATGATTAGCCCTAACCCTAGCCTCAAACAATAGTAAACATTAAAGAACATTATTATGTGAACGTAAACAAACAATGGATTACATCCCCTAGGGTCAACGTTTCAAGTGTTGCCCTTTTATTTCAACCATGTAGAACCTTTCTTGCTTACTTAGTTCTATCGTATGTCACATAATCCCATTAAACTACTCTTGTAAAGCATTCTGTTTCTCCAGTCGCCTCTGCTATCCTTCCCAGTTCATGCCTTTTCTTAATCTAGCTTGTGTTCTGGGGATGTTCCAGTCTGATAGGAGCTAAGTAGGAGGTCCAGGCTCAGTTCCGCTTTATCTATATCACTTCATAGTTATATTGGGAAAAGAGCTGCCACCATCAAAGATGACTGAATATTTCTTGTTTACTCGTTATACTTGTTTTTTGTTTGACTGGGTTTCAGATTTATAACTTGTTTCTGGATGTGGTAGCTTACTAATGATGTGTGACTGGCATTTGAGTTCCAGCTGTCACATAATATATTCTCTTACTTTTTACATTTGGTCAGAGCGCACTAGAAAAAATCTAGCTTTAAAAGTAATGTTTTTGTGATTTTTCATGGTATTTGCTTCCTCATTGAACATCTGCTGAGAAATCTTATGTGACTGAAAGAGTTGTAGTCTCCATTAATCCATTAATACATGAACATTAGTTTTGGCTTGTGATTTCTAATTTTGGCTCTCCTGTAAACTACGGCCGGTAGGCAACAGTAGACGGCCGGTTAGTCTGAGTTCTGTCCCCTGGCTGCAGTGCTATTACGGACTGGACAGGAGGAAACGAAACAGTTGACATAATTACTGTGTGTTGGCGATAGACAGTGTGCACTGCCCTGCTATGATCATACAATTAGGGGTAGGGTTAGGGTGTGGGTTAGGGTTACGGTTAGTGTTGCCGCATCTCGCCTTCGCACAAACTCAAAGTAGCAGCCCAAGCCTAACCCTAACCATGAACCTAACCCTAAACCTACCCTACACCCTACCCCTAACCCAAACCCTAATCGTATGCTAACAGTATATCACTGCACGCTGTCTATCGCCAACACACAGTAATTATGTCACTTTTTTTGTTCCCTCTCATCCACTCCGTAATGCATCGCAAGAAGCGGTCGCTAATTTGAGTCGCAGCGCGGGGTCTGCAAGGCATGTTGACCTCACTTTGTCGCCAACACACAGTAATTATGTCATTTGATTCGTGCCTTTTCCAGTCCGTAATTGCACTGCAGCCAGGGGACAGAACTCCGACTAACAGGCCGTCTACTGTTGTTTACCGGCTGTAGTTGACAGGAGAGCCCTAATTATGTTTTAATATTTGCCTTTTTTTTTTTTTAACTTTGCTGACTATCACTTATATTGTTCCTGTCTATCTATCTATCTGTTACCTTTCATCTGTTAGGCATCACAGGTGTGGCTGATGATTAGTTTCCGGGATAGTATGAGCTCATTAGCTTGCTGCCTGGTGATATTGTTGAGTTTCATCAAGTTGTCAACTTTATATATCCATCTTCTTCTTGGTTTTCCTCTGCATCTTGATGTTTCCATCATCATGTATGTTTTTGCAACTGGTGATGCTGGGTTCATTCTGACCAGGTGAGCAAACAACTATTTCAGTCTTTGTTTTTCAGTACATAAAATTGCAAGTGTTTTTTCAAACATTCTAATATCTTCATTGATGCTATGGTCCTTTATTCTTCTTATAGTCCATGTTATGTAGTTGTGTTCATCATGTGTGGTGTGTCCAGTCTTGTCTTTTACAAGTCAGTCATTATCTGATGCAGATATTCCTCCATAACCTGTTGATTATGATGCCACATTAAAATCTCCCTTGGTCTGTATCTCTTTTCACCTTCAATTTATATTCTTATTACAAAGTCTCCTTTTGTCATTCCATTGATAGAAATGCAAAGGTCATCTTCTGAATCCACCTGCTGTTATTGGTAAGCATTTATGGGGAGATATATGAGTTTTGCTTTTTAACCAAAGCTAGTGTCTATCGCTTTGGCATTTTTAATGCGCTTCGTAATGCCAGGGTGCCAGATTTATCCCAGCTTCAGGCAGTTTGGTAGCATACCATCTTGCATTGTTGGTGATAGTGGTATTGAGAGCCAGCTAACTACTGAACCTAATGTTTGCCTAGAAAAACCACAATAGCCAAAACTCCTGGGGTTGATTCTGCATCGTTCTGTAAAGGATTGTGTATGTGTGTGTGTAACTAAATAGGGCACAATTGTTTTTTGTACATGCAAAATATAATATACCTCTATCCATTATAATTGATTTGTAGGCAGAATCTCATTTCAGATTTCATTCTTATAGAATAATTTTTTTATTATGTTTTACAAAGGATACAGTGTCTGAAACAAACATATTTTATTTCTGCAGGGTTACACATCCTTTTGGAATGACTGTATATCATCAGGGTTACGTGGCTGCATACTCATCGAGCTTTCATTGCGAGGTAGAATTGAATTAGAAAAGGCTGGAATGAGACGTCGCAGTCTTGCAAACCGAAAAGTAATATGTAAAAATGATCAGCCAACAGGAGATGTATTACTTGATGAAGCTCTGAGACATATAAAAGAAACACAACCACCAGAAACAGTACAGGCTTGGATAGAGTACCTCAGTGGTAAGCATATTTTTCATTCAAATTATGTATATGTTGCATTTAATCTTTGTCAACAGTACTGAAATAAAAACTCACAGAGATTGATTGATGCGCTTTGCAGACAGGACTAGTACAAATAATTGAGCTTATGTCAAAGTACACTTGTTCCATCAGCAGTATGTCACTACAAGGGTCATATTTACATTGCAGTGTGCGTATATTTTCTAAAATTCATTTTCACAGAATTGTCCGGTTTTTCCTACGTCTTTCATTTGGTTTGGAAGTGTGCCTAACAGGTTTTCTCAATATGGGTTCTTTCCAGTGTTCTAACAGTTTTTTAAACAGGATTCTCAGCGTGGGTTCTATCCAATGCCAGCATCTTTGTTTTTACGGGAGGAGTCACTGAAATTATTTAGTTCACTAATCTTTATAGGTGATTCTACCCTACCTTTAACATTACCCAGGGAAATCTAAAAAAAACAGCACAGTTCCCGAAAATTTATGGGGGTGAAATCCTTAAAAATGCAACAGTTTTATGCAGGTTACCAAAAATACTATTTTGGTAATTCGTTTATACATCATCATCATCTTCTTCTTCTTCAGCCGCATTCTGAGCCCTTGAGGTTCATTGCTGCACAGATCACCCGCCTCCATTTATCTCTGGTGGGCCTTTTATTTCCACTTGGTGACAGGAAGTTTTTGTAGGTCTACCTTGATATTATCTCTCCATATTTTTGTTGGTCAGCCTTATCGTCTGTGACCATTCAGCTCACTTGTGTATACAGTTTTTACCTCTGCTATCACCCATTCTCTCAGTGTGCCCCAACCATTTCAGTCTATTAGCTCTCATGATGCCAGTTATCAATGGTGATTTAAACAAATTATGAATTCAATTGTTGCTTCTCACTCTCCATTCCCTGCTGTTTGCATCTTTGATCGGTCCAAATATCCGTTGTATGACTGTTTAAAAAAATGTGTAATATGGCTTAATCTCTTTTAGCTGTGCACTAGTTTCAGAGCCAAATAAAATGACTGGTCTTATCAACTTTTATATATTTGGATCTTGGTGTTGCGAGATAGAGACTTTTATTTTAGTAGATGTTAAAAGGAATAGTATACTTTATTTCCAGATTGTTTTCTAGATTGTATTTCTTCTCTCAGCATGTTGGAGCAGTTGAAGCTTGCAAACAAATACTTATGTTTCCCTTTTTTTTTTTTTTTTATATTATCGACTTGTATGTGATCAGAGTTTGTATCCTTTCCCTATCTTGTTATTATCATGTATTCTGTCTTATCCGGATTGATTAGCCCCATTTTATGAGCTACTTCTTTTAAGAAAGTCAATGTTTTTACTGTTTCTAGTTCATTTTCTCCAACAGTATCATCTGCATAACCAAGTATTCTTTTAGTTTCTACTGTAATACACTCTTTTTTTAAATTTCTTTCTAATTGTTATAGGGCAAAGATGAAATGCAGTTTTTACAGTGCATCACCTTGCTTCAAACCAAATGTTATTTAAATAGGGTGTGACTTTTTGCCTTTGTATGTTAATATAATATAAATGTCTTCCATACATAGTTTGGTCATGGTGATATTCTTTGTTGGATGTTTAGCATATCCTTCCAGCACATGCCAACACAAAATGATGTACTATTCACAGTAAATTCAGACTGTTTACAAAAAAGAATTGTGACATAAAATTACAATGTTTGCTGCTATTGGCTGATCAGTCTTATATAAAAATATAAAATAACTATGCTTAGTATTGCAGAAGAATTATGTGGAAAATAAAAGAGTGGAAACAGACGGGGAAATAACAAATATTCACCTTGGTGGTGCAAAGAAGTAAAAGAAGCAATTAAAAAGAAAAAAGACTTATATAAACAGTGGATAAAATCAAAGAAAGAAGAGGATTATATAAACTATAGACTGCAAAGGAGAGAAACCAAAAGGAGTGTCAAGAAAGCAAAACAAGCATCCTGTGAACGTTTCGGTGAGTCATTAGCAGAAAATGAGAAAACAGCCAGCAGAAAATTTTTCAAAGTAGTTAAAAATATGCGGAAAAGAGATGAGAGCTACAACCCCACTGAAATAATTAATGATAAGACAGGAAGGCCATTGATAGATCCACCGGAGATAGCAGAAAGATGGAGGGAATACTTCAATGAGCTCTTTAATCCTCTAGGAGATCATCAGGAAAGAACCACTGAAGAGCACAGAGCAACAGTGTTAGAACCACACATACTAATGGCTGAAATAGAAAAAGTCATTAAACAGTCTCCCAAATATAAAGCACCAGTAGCTGATAGATTACCAACAGAAATAATTCAAGCAGCAGGTGAAAGCAGCATCAGATGGCTTCACAGAATATTCAGTTCAGCATGGGTACAACAAACAGCCCCTATTGATTGGCAACATGCAATAGTTATACCATTGTGGAAGAACAAAGGAAGCAAACGTGAATGCGGTCAATATCGAGGCATCTCTCTTTTAAGCCATGTTGGCAAAATGTATGCCAAGATAATAGAAACAAGACTGAGACCAGTGATAGAACCACAGCTGGCAGAAGAACAGATGGGATTTAGGAGAAATAGAAGCTGCACAGATGCAATCTTCACACTTAAACAGTTAATAGAAAAGAACATTGAATATAATAAGAACTTATTTGTGGCATTCGTAGACCAGGAGAAGGCATTTGACAGAGTTGACAGACAATTATTATGGAAAGTAATGGCAAGATATGGAGCAAGCGAACACCTCATCGAAGTGTGCAAAAGTTTATACAGGGATTGTAGAAGTGTAGTTACAATAAATCAGGGACTTCTCATCCTTTCACAGTGACATCTGGATTAAGACAGGGGTGTGTCTTATCACCACTGCTGTTTATCACCTACATCGACAGTATATGCAAGAATTCCAAGCCCATGAATGAAGATCTTAGTAACATCAACGAATTACTCTTTGCAGATGACCAGGCCTTGATAGCAGATACAGCCATGAAATTGCAACAACATCTTAACATCCATGAATGAAGAATGTAAAACAAATAATATGAGAATCAACACTGAAAAGACAGAAGTACTGTCAATAGGAAAAAAGAAGACAGATCTAAACATAGCAATAGAATACAAAGGCATTAAACAGGCATCTGAGTTTAAATATCTGGAAACTACATTTACCGAAGATGGGAAATGGGATAAAGAAATTAACATTAGATGCAGTAAAGCAAACCAAGTATTGGGACAGCTAGCCCCCCTCTTACAGCATAAGACAATCTCAATCAGCACAAAGAAACATCTTATTCAAAGCATATTTATTCCAACTCTGTGCTACCAGTGCCAGACATGGTCACTCACAACAAACCATAAAAGAAAATTAGTAACCACGGAAATGAGATATCTGAGAAGGGCTGTAGGAGTGACCATAAGAGATAAGATCAGGAATGAGATCATAAGAGAACAAGTCGGCACAGAACTAATTCTGGATTACATACAAAGACAGCAAGTGAAATGGTTTGCCCACTTAGAGAGAATGCCTTGTGACACTATACCATACAAAGCATACATGGAAAGAGAAGAAGGACATAGAGCACGGGGTAGACCAAGAACAAGATGGAAGGATAACATCAGAGAAACTCTACAACAGCACGATGTGCCTATGGTCGAGGCAGCCAGAAGAGCTAGAAACAGAACCTTATATCTCCCTCGACACCCACAACGGTAAACGAGGAGGTGAAGAAGAAGAAGTCTTATATAGCTGTCTTTTAGTAGACTGTTGTCTGTATTTAAGTGTGGGTAAGTTTTGAATTCTGAAGTAACTTTTTAGTAGCTTCATCTTATTTCAGCTACATACACAAATGAAAAGTTTTTTTGTTTTTTTTTTAACTCTTCTGCAGGTGAAACATGGAACCCATTGAAATTGCGATACCAGCTCCGTAATGTCCGTGAAAGGCTGGCTAAAAACCTCGTGGAAAAAGGTGTTTGCACCACAGAGAAGCAAAATTTCTTGCTCTTTGACATGACAACTCACCCACTTACTGATAACATTGTCAAACAAAAGCTTGTCAAACGAGTCCAAGACTCAGTACTGAGTCGCTGGACCAATGACGCTCACAGAATGGACCGACGAATATTGGCCCTCATTTATCTGGCACATGCATCAGATGTTTTGGAAAATGCATTCGCTCCTTTATCAGATGAAGACTATGAGGTTGCTATGAAAAGGGTGCGGGAGCTGCTGGATCTGGATTTTGATGCGGAGAGTATGAAGGAAGGGACAAATGAACTATTGTGGGCTGTTGTTAGTTCAATGAGCAAGTGATCCCAGTTGTTGTGTTTATTATTTCCTTGTGTGGTTTATTTTAGGGTTTGTTTATTTGGGGAAATTGAAAATATATTTAAATAATAAAGGTCATGACAGACATGTGGTTGCATCTTAAATTAATTGTTCTAAAAGTATATTTAAACATGGACACTTTCTCATAAATGTGTTCCTTATTAATAAACCTTTATGTAAAAAAATGAAGAATTTTGAAAATATTGTTAAATAATAAGGGGCAAGACAGATATAATGGTTGCACTTTTAATTATATACCTTTTGAAAATGTTATGAATGTAACAGTGAATAAATGAATGAATTATCAAGTGTTAATATCACTGTGCTCAAGGCATCCTGCATGTGCTCTGTCTTTTTTCCTAGCTAATGAAAAATTCCTATTTGAAGGTGCCTGCAACAAATAATGTTTTCTAAAATATACTTATAAATACTTTTTTTTAACACAATACAGAATATTGAAAATACAATTTAATCACTGTCCAGCAGGATGTTAGTCTGTCAGCATAAAATATACATTTTTTTTTTAGTAAATTGTATATTCTAGAGTTGCTTTAAGCATAGTCTTAAGTGTAGAGACCAACTTGTAGCTTTTCCATATTTCCAAATGCTCACATTCATTACATATTTGTGTATTGACATTTTTACATTTTTAAAGATTTTTTTTTTTTCGTAACTTTTATTACCTGTGTGCTGTCAAAGAGATTTCTTAGGTGTCTGTGTCCAGCACAGGGATGAATTTTGCATTGCACTATCCCTGCTCATTATATCCTGTGGCTCATTATATCCTGTGGCTCATTATATCCTGTGGCTCATTATTGAGGAGGATTTTATGTCAATAGCCAAAATATGGTTTTGAGGGTTTGAGCCGAGGTCTAGTTCTAGCCCTGTTTTTGTTTCAGTGAATCTGGTTGTCTCTTTATTGAAGCAGAAATGATGTAAAAGCCAATTCTAATGCAAAGTTTACTGATATGCTACCACAGTTTCTGTGTGCTATTAGCCAAGCCCACAGGGAACTCTATACCAAAGGTTCTGTGGTTTATTGGTAGCCCAGCCCATATACAATTATGCTACAGTTGCTGTGCTAGTAGCCAAGCCCCACAAACTGCTATGCTACCACAGTTTCTATGCTAATAACTAAGCCCACAAATTGCTATGCTACCACAGTTTCTGTGCTAGTAGTCAAGCCCACATACTGCTATGCTACCACAGTTTCTGTGCTAGTAGCCAAGCCCACAAACTACTATGCTACCACAGTTTCTATGCTAGTAACAAAGCCCACAAACTTCTATGCTACCACATTTTCTGCGCTAGTAGTTCACAAACTATTATACAATAGCTTATGCGATTTCTTTGTGGCCCAAACCCGAAATCACTGTACTAACTTGATGTGTTAGTAAAGCCCACTGACCACAGCTTCTGTGATTTGTTAGTAGCCAAGCCCACAGACAACTATACTACCAGTTTCTGTGATTGGTTGACAGCCAAGCCCAAAGACACTACTGCAGCTCCTGTGATGTTTTGGTAGCCAAGCCCACAGACAACAGCAGCTTCTGTGATGTTTTGGTAGCCAAGCCCATGAACAACTATGCTACCAAAGTGTCAGGGATTTTTAATACTGCTGAAATATAAGTAAATATAGTCTCATTTTAGTGTTCACCGGCTGGAGATTGCGGCGGAAATGTCTGGTTGTTTGTCCACTGTTTGACTTTGTTGTTGTTCTAGAACTTGAGTTTTATGTGCACATCCCTTTTACAGATCTGGCTTATTTATATGCTGATTGTTGGTGCCTAGATTTTCTGACAGATGCACTTCGACTTTGAAGGAAAGTTACTCACTTATCCTTTACAAGAGGTTGCAGAACCAACCTCAGTATTTTTGGGCTGTTGTGGTTTTTTGACTAGGCAAAGTTGATGTTCAGTAATTGGCGTTGCTTGCTGAATGGTCAGCTCTCTGTACCACTGTTGAAACCAGTGCAAGACATATCGTCTGCAGCTGGGATCGAACCGGCACCCCGGCATTACAAAGCATGTTCACTCCGCCTAAGCCAGAGATGCTGAAGTCTCATCCTACAACATTTCCTTGGGGGGGGGGGGGGGGGGGGGGGGGGCTCCAGAACCCAAGTAAACACTGTTTTACAAGATAAGATAGTTTCACCTGTATAGTTTACTTTCATAATAACATAGTTCGGTCACTGTCAAGTGACATAATCATTTGGTTTATTCAGTATAGCCTTTGTTGTGCATCACACTGTAGTAGCTCTGACTATATTGTTACTTAACAGGTTTTTTTTTTTGGGGGGGGGGGGGGGGGGGGGGGGGGGTATTATGGTTTTCCACATAAATGGCTTTCATAAATATGTATATAATTGAGATGTTTCAGAGTAAAAGTGGTTGTTATGTCACGTTGTGCGATAGTAGTGTAATTGCACAGTGTATATTAGAGTGTAACAGTGTTTTCATTTGCAGAATGTGTCACTTTGGACACATATATCCAGGTTTAGCATTGTTTTTTTTTTTTCTTTTCAGTTCCATGAAAAGCATTATTTTTTCTGAATAATTACATTTACTTGCTTCTCTTATTTGTTTACTTAATGTTTTTGGGCTATAAGAACTCCTCCATTTTAGAAATAAAAATGTGATTTCGGTGATAAAAGAGTGATGTGTGGTTTAACAGTCTGTGATTTTATGTGTGTTGAGGGCGGTCTTGATGGATTTTGTACATACTTGTTCTGCTGAGGGATTATACCATAATTGTATGTGTTCATATTTTTGTGTCGTTTACTGACATGCAGCCATGTATACATTTATTTGAGCACTTACATGTAATTAATATGAAAAACTTGGGCAAATTAAAGTCATGATTGTTATAAAACTGTGGTCGGCATTCAGTTTTGTTGTTGAGGAATGAATGAAAGTGGCAGGATGCAGTGCTGGTTCAAGACTGCAGAATTGTAGATGGCAGCTTGAACTCTGCTGACTGATTAAGGATTTAACCAGCTTTTGAAAAGTCTTAACTTAGATCCTTTAGATTTAACTATACAGAAAGATAGGTAATGTTCAGTAATAACCTTACAATGAAAAGAGGGTTGAAAAGTAAACAAACGAAACAATATTTGTAACCATATTATGACATAACACTCTTATAAAAACCATACTAAAGAGAAAAGTTGAAGGCTGACAAGAATGGGGTAGACAGAAATGCAAGTGAGGATAACATCAAGAGGAAGTGTACAGGCCGAATGAAAGATGTGCAGCGTTGACTACATGGTTCATGTCTTAACTAGAATTAGCTACATGCCCTATGCAATCAGTTTTGGATTGACATATGCTAGAGAATTTGGGAGGAGGCAGCTGACAGTCTGTAGTGATCACAAATATTGCTCTAGAAGTCCAATGCTGCTATAACACATATTTTGTTTTTGACTTTACTTATGGAAAACAGGATTGATAATTTAACTTCTAGTTAGTGTGACATAATCCAGTCTATCTAGTGAATCCACATTTACAGAATCAGTTAAACCATATAGACATTCAAGCTCTTTTACACCTTTGATCTGTCTGTCACCGCTGTCTGTTTTACCACTTTTTAGGGCGATATAAACAGGGATGCTTTGACCCTGAGGATTTAGGGTCGCCTGGCTAGTGCTGTTGCCACAGACTGTGCAGGATGTTTAATTTTGCCCCCGACAGAAAAACATCACCTTACTGGGGTCGAACTCAGGTCTCCCGCTAGAGAGTCTGACATTGTAACCGCTCGGCCAGCTGCTTCTCACACTCCTTTTATCAGATGTAAAAAAAACATAGGTTTCTGTTGACTGACTACCACAATATTGTTTATCTCATTTGTGGGAACTGCTGCTTACACTGATGATGACTCCAGTTCTGATGTCAGACTGTTTGTTTTGGCACCTCTGATGGCTGCCTTATGCATTTAATGCAGGTGATTGCTATTGGCTGCAGTTTTTTTTCACAAGGGTCACAGTAGAAAGCATTCCTTGTGGTTTTCTTGACACAGAAACAGAGCAGTTATGCTGGTACCTGTTTACTGTCAAGCTAGAACTGTGATTACCTGTTACTGAATACATTAAATTTGTAATAATCTGTTCTGGCATTTAGGTATAGGCCGAGTAAAGGGCCTGCTAGAAAAAGTGTGGTGTAATGATTTAGCAAAGGGATTGTATTGTAGAGCTCTCATTGCCTAGTCTGGAAACTAGGGAGATGTGAAAGAGTATTACTGGAAATGACAACTACTGAAAGGCATTGTATTATGTCACTAGGTTGCTATTCATCATATGGATGGGCTGGGATTAGATCTAGATTTGAGTTTTCGTCTGCAGACTTTATGTGTGTTGGTTCTAACACTCTTATCCCTTGCCCAGAGAAAAGAAAGAATTAGAGATAAAGAACACTGACTAGCAAAGTAAGAAGTTTTTAGCTCACCATCCCCTTGTATACAGAAGTGGTTTCAGTAAACAACTGCTTAAACTTGATGGTATCCCATATGACTCTGCCTTTCTCCACAGAATGGGTAACTGTCTGCCTACTGATAGTGTCACACAAAGCACAAGCTGTGTAGCTAAAGTGATATTCTCCAGTGATCTCTTTAGAAACTGCACTTTTGAACCACAGTCCTTGAAACAAACCCACAACTTTTAGTTCATAAGCATATGGCTTGACCGCTTCATTTGAAGACCCCAAGAAATGGACAGACTCTCTGAGAGAGACTACTCATGGGGTAGGGGTTTACACTAAGAGGATCCCATATCGGACACTACTTTTAGAACAACCACAGGAGAGCCTTGAAGCAATCAGTTTCAGAGAAATGTTGACCCATTCTAATTGTAAACATTGCCACTATCATATAACTCCAGGATCTTGGGAGCACACCACGAGAAGAAAGGCTGCATATGACTGGTGTTAGTTGTCTGGTCACATCAACTTTTTTTTTTTTTAAATAGACTTAACCTTTTTGCTCAGAGAAACCAA